TCATCTGCAAATAAATTTATAAAATCAACATTTATAAACAAGTTTATGTCATTTAAGTATAAGATAAAAATCAGAGGTCCTAAAACGCTACCCTGAGGCACACCTATATGTATATCCAATTCCTGTGAGATATCTTGAACTCTGACTTTTTGCTTTCTATGGGATTAATAGTTAGATAACAATTGTAAACATCACCATCAATGCCATAACCTCTTAATTTTATTGGAACAATATTACGATCAATTGTTTCAAAAGCCCTCTTCAGATCAAAGAAAAACAGCTACTACAAATTTATTGTTATCAACTTCTTTTTTTGAATTTAAATAAAGAGAGTTGTAATGCGGATTCATATGAATATTTTTTACTAAATCCAGATTGAGATCCTTCAATAGAAGACCTGGTGTTGGACATCTGTTAGCTCTCCTCGGGACTGGGTCGTTCCCTCTCATTAGGCGATGTTTCTAAGATCTGAAATCTTCTTTATCTTCTTGTATATTTAATCCACTTCTTTTTCGACGTTGGGATCTCTTGCCATTTTCGAAAATTCTTTTACAGGTGTCCCGGTTTTCCAAAATTGTAATAACGTTTTCTAGACGGTGTCTTATTTTCTCGACTTCTGGAGTTCATTGATCTGTTACTGCAGTGATGGGTTTTCGTTAAAGGTCACTTTCCTCAGCTTCATTTTTGCTGAATGTCATTCCTCTTGTCTTCATTTTTGCTAATGGTCGCCATGCTTCATTTTCGCTAATCAATGAAAACCTGGCTGTTGTATGTAAGACTATCCTCTTTATTATGGATGTACTCTGCCCAAGAGGAGTCTATCGGTTGAAAACATGTCAGACAATTCGTTCACCCGTTCCTTCAATTTCATATTTTTTTTATGATATGTTCATTTACCTTTCCCAATTCGTTTTCTACTCTTTTCAACCGGTGAATTCCTGCATTAGTTTCTAATTATTTTAGCAATTAGCGACAGCTGATTAACGGAAAAACATATTTTTTTAAACAGAATTTAAAAGAACAATAACTGTTCTTTTAGATGATTTTATTTATGGCCAGTCTTCAAGTTTGCCCACTGACTATATTTGAGAAGTTTTCTTTCCTTATAGTTCGAGAAATTGGGCAAATTTCGGATATTCAGTTGGTTACCTCGTTCACAGGCAGATGGGGCGATGACAAACCTGTTTTTTGTTGTCCGCTTCAGCCTATTACTAGAAATGATACTCTGAAGGAATTATGTTGGAATTTTGTTGATGATATACACTACCTTGCACTGACGAGTGGCCAAACAGCCCGAAACCGGTCTACAAGTGTGTTCCAATAATTGAAAATCTACTGCGGCAGTTGTATCGCCAACAGCATACGCAGGAATAACTTCAGTGAAGAATCCTGCACTGACACATGTCGGATATAATCCAACGCCCTTCGTGGTATTAGCCAGGGGAGTAGTTGTTTTCTGATAGGTGTCAGTCCATTAACCTACAATGTAGGGAGTTGAGACTGGTCTGAACGAATTGTTCTTTTAGATGATTTTTTAATTTGTTTTTGCATCTGTCTCCTTTATCTTTCTTGTTTTTCGAATGGCAATAAAAGCAGTCTGAGTTGGCTTTCTGTTCCACCTATTGATATTTTCTGAGAATAACAGAAGTATGATTAAGGATAATCGAATAAAAATAATCAAAACAATAAATTCACTATTTCGTTGTTGAATGTGTCTCATAATTAATCAAAAATATTGTTTGCAAGGTTATTAATCTGCAACGTCGTTTTATCGTCATTTCTTTTTTTTTTTTCAGTAATTAAATGGCTGATTCGTGGCAGGGTCCGCCAAAACAGGGCCTGTACGACCCGCAGTTTGAAAAAGACGCTTGCGGTGTCGGCTTCATAGTATCTATTGAGGGCAAACGGCAACACAAGATAGTGCGCGATGCCCAGAGACTGGCGATTTCTATGAACCATCGTGGTGCATGCGCTTGTGATAACGATACTGGAGACGGTGCTGGAGTGCTCACTGCTATCCCTCATGATTTATATTTCGCCAAACTCAAGTAAGTGATATTCATCTGTTGAATTGGATAGTGAATGGCTTTAACGAATAATAGCTTCAAAAATTAATGAATGATCTAAGACAACTCTGATGGCTTGACAAAAATCAACTTGGCATAAACACCTAGAAACGGAATCATTTTTTTCCGTCAAAATATTGAAATGAGTATATTTAAAATTATTACCGATGATTTATTGAAAGCCCTAAATACCTGGATACTTCGATCAAAATTTGATTTTTTGTTTTTCATAAGCTTCATACACCTTGTAATCGAGATATAATCAGAAATGGATTGACTACATTTGAAGGAGTACTTGGTTCACAGTAGAAATGAGGAAACCTATTATGGTATTTCAGCGGGCTTATTCTACTGAAAACTACACAAGCATCTACAGTAGGCTACAACAAATAATAAAAGGAACAAATCATGTGTTGCCGTATCTACAAATCTTATGTAATTCATCGTCTGGTAGAACACAGGACACAGACTGAAAGCTGTGAATTATGGTTCTTTAACTTCAAAACACTCGCACTTCCCTCAACTAGGGCCATATCTGTATCTGTAGAGTAGGGAGGGTAGCACTTAGGCCACATGTGACCCATTGTACATCCTCCCGAGGTGTTGTCCCCCTAGGTTATCGTCCATCCTGTTCTTTTCAGGAAGGTGGATAGGTCACTAGGAGACATCTCATTTATATTGGCAGGTGTAGGCCAAGACTCGCCGAACACACACTCTCTTATTGACGATAACTCCGGGCACTCGCATAGGATATGCCTGACAGTATCATCTTCCTGTTCACACATCCTGCATAGAGGTGTGTCCACTAGCCCCATATTATGGAGGTGTTTCCTTAGTTGACAGTGGCCAGTCAGAAATTCTACTGTTAAGAGTAGATTTTCCCTGGTCATCGCCAGATATTTCTTCGGCGCCAGCTTCCCAGGGTCGCCCAGGGTGATCCTGGCAAGATTGCATCCTTTGATTTCATCCCATCTCTTTAGGGATTGGGCATGCGTTTGACTTGTTCCGCAATTGTCGAAGTCATCAGGCCGTGGGTGCCACTGGGTCCTAAAATTCTTAGTCCAGCCGCTTCCTTGGCTAAAGAGTCGGCAATGCGATTACCTTTACTCCTGTCGTGCCCTTTAACCCACCTCAGGATAATGTTATTATCTACCGAGGCTTTGGCTAAATCTTGGTGGCACTCTAGTACTAGCCCTGAGGTAACACATTGTCTGTTCAAGGCTAATAGGGCTTGTCTGCTGTTAGTGCAGATTGTTATGTTTTTGCCAGAAATTCCTTTTCTGGTTATTTCTTTTGTGACAATTGAGATACCAGCCAGTTAGTTCTGTTTGAACCACGCTGGTTTTTTTCCTATTCCCCATTAATCCTTTGGCTTAGTGGTCTGGAGTACACTCCACATCCTGAGCCTTCTTTGGTTTTTGAGCCGTCTGTATATATGCGTATTGTATTTGTAGCATCTGACTCTGTGTTCCGTTTCATTTGTATTTTGTAGGGTTTATTAAACACAAACCTGGGTTCAATTGCATCCCTGGTTGCCTGCAGCAGAGGTTGCGCAGTAAGCGCTTCTCGACATAGGCTCAGCCTCTATTGACCCATTCCTAGTTCGAGGTTTACACCAGCCGTGCGCAATCGTAACATGACCATTAAGGCAACCACCTTAACGTACAGGTCCAGAGGGGTCAGACCCGTAATTAATTCCATTGCCGCGGTTGGCGTTGTTCTCATGGCACCTGTAATGTTTAAACAAGCCAGTCGCTGTATTTGATATGATTTTTGGATGACCGTTGCTTGTAGAAATTTCGGTCCCCATGCAATGACTCCGTACATTAACATAAATCTTATTAATGCATGGTAGATCCAGGTGACCACACGGGGTGAAAGACCCCATGCGCGTCCCACTGTCCTCCGACATTGCTCATAAGCTACATATGCTCTTTTTGCTCTACTCTGTAGGTGGGAGTTCCATGTTAGCTTCCTGTCGAGGATAGTACCAAGGTATTTCACCTCTTCAGAAGTTTAGTTTGCTTTTGAAGATTTCGGGAGGTTTTAAGCCCGATAAACTTCTTTTCCCGGTGAAAAGGACCATCTCAGTCTTCTTGTGATTAATCGACAGTGAGTGTGTGAGCCCATCCTGCGCTCTATCGCACAGTGTGTTCACATATTTGCCTGTCTGCAAGATAACTATGTCATCTGCATATGTAATTGTGTAAAATCCATTATTTTTGAGGTGATTAATTAGAAAGGGTGATAAGACCCCTCCCTGTGGACATCCCCTCATGACCAGTCCTCTCACTGTGATGTCTTCTACATTGATACTTATTGCTCTACTAGAAAGCATCTTGAGTATCCATTCTCCTACTACCAGAGGTATATTCCTGGAGTGTAGTTGCTGGGTAATTGTTGGGAAAGTTGTTTTGTCAAATGTTCCATCGATATCTATGAATATACCCAGGGTAGATTCTTTGTTGTGCAATGATCTTTCTATTCTACCAACCACATGGTGGAGGGCTGAATCAGTAAACCTTCCCGGAGTATATGCATGCTGATTTGGATGAAGTGCGTTGTGAACTAGTACTTCATTTTTTATGTACCGCTCACATAGCCTCTCCATAGTTTTTACCAAGAACGATGTGAGACTAATTGGTCGGAATGCTTTTGGTAATGTGTAGTCCATCCTACCTGGTTTGGGTATTAATACTACTCGTACTTCTCTACACTTACTGGGCTATACAGCTAGAGAGGCCCTGAATATTCCAACCAGGTGCGGCATAAGAATATCCAATCCCCATTGAAATAGGGCTGGTCTTATACCATCAGGTCCTGGTGACTTAAAGGGGAAAAGCCCGATATGGCCCATCTTATCCAATCCTCATCAATTACTGCACTAGCAGATTGTCAGTCGCATTGTGAGGGTGTTGTTGGTACTTACGTCCAGTTCGTCGTTCCAGGAAAGACAGAACCTGGGAAGTAAGTTTTCATAAGAATATGAGCACTCTCTTGGAGGTTGGCGGCTTTGTCGCCATTTTCCCTCGTCAGGAGGCCGATACTCTTATGGTGGTCCTTTAAGACTGCCTTCTGTAGCCTAGAAGCTAGTGAGAAGTCTTCGACTGCCTCACAATAAGCTCTCCAGGCTTCTCTTTGTTTTTGTCTGCAGACTATTTTGAACTACAAAAGCGACTACAGTAGGCTACAACAAATAATAAGAGGAACAAATCCTATGTTGCCATATCTACAAATCTTATGTAGTTCACTGGCTGGTAGAACACAGACTGAAAGCTGTTAATTATGGTTCATTAACTTCAAAACACTCACACTTCCCTCAGCTAGAATTTATAATGACTTGGCCCATATAAAAATGCACGTGCATTTGCACCCACTCATACCTACAATTATCTGATTAAAAAGAGATTGTTCTTTCAGATAATTTGATTTACAGTCAGTCTACAAGAATGCCCCCTTACTATATGTGAAGAATTTTTCCTTGTAGCCGATTCGGATATACGGTTGGTTAGTAGCTCGTTTACGGGCAGATGGGGCGATGACAAATATGTTGTTTGTCGTTTGGTTCAGCCTTGTTCGAGTAATGATACTCTGAAAGAAATTCTATTTTTAATTACGGAAAATCATCGACTTCGTGTTGCACTGACCTTGCACTGAGGAGAGGTCAAATATCCCGAAACGGGTCTGCAAGTGTGCCTGTTCCAATAATTTAAAATCGATTCCATCAGTTATATCGCCAGCACCCTATGCAGGAATTGCTCCTGTGAAGAATCCTGCACCACATGTCTGATATAATCCAACGACCTTCGTGGTATTAGCCAGAGAAGTACTACATTGCTACTATATTCCCAAATATGAAAAACCGTGGAAAATATTTCTAAACATCATTGTGATTACCAATTGTAGCGGAGAGAGATCATTTTCAAATAAGAAAGCCGCAGACCTGCTACAAGTCGTTATTAGGACTACATAGATGTCACTATTCACAAAACCAAAATGAACTAACTATAAAAAGCTGTTGATACGCGTAAGCTCAGAACCAAGGCTCTCAGTACTATGGTATATAAGGTTGCTGGTTTGATATCTTGAAGAGAGAAAATTTATTATGCACAAGCTTTTTTTCTACTAGTTACTTGCTTAGTAGTAAAAATGCCAGTTATTGGGCATTTGGAATCTTTATTATCTTCTAACTCGGTTACAGGTATCTAACTTTTCGAAATATTTTGCTTGGAGAAATAGAATGCCTCGAAAGAAATTTTCTCCTATGAAGATTTCGATGAAAAAATGTATTTTTCAGGGATGAACACAACGTTCAACTTCCCCCATTCGGGAAATATGCCACTGGTATCTTCTTCCTCGATAAACTGCACCATCAGGAATCCGAGACTAAGTTTGCTGCCCTGGCAGAGGAACTGGATTTGTCCGTGTTGGCTTGGCGTACCGTACCAACCAACAATTCCTCCATAGGCGCCGTAGCAAAGAATTCAGAGCCGTTTATGAGACAGGTGAGAAGCATTCAAATAATTTTCTTCATCAAATCAATTTAAATTTGGGTAAACAGAGTATTAATTGAAAAAAACTGGTTAAATCTTTTTCCGTTAACCAGCTGTCGCACCCCTACGAACGACAACCCTCGAAGTCGAAACTTGTACGAGCTGGGGATTTACGAGGCATTACCTTTAACGAGTGGAAACCGCTCACGCCAACCAAAACGGCTGCCGTCTTGTAAAAAATAATTTAATTTTAACCCTACCACCAAAACGGTAACAACAATGAAATTTGAATATCCGGGCTTAAAGACATGGTCTGGTGACCTTTAAAGAGACGATAGGGTAACAATTTAAAGAATTAACTGTCTTGAACAAATGTATTTCCAACAATATTTCACTACACAAACTAAATTATTTACAACACTTAGCAACTAACGCTTAATTTATTTCCACTATTTAAATTCCTTGTTTAACCGCTCGATTCGCTTTCTGAACTCAACTGCCCTCTCTGGACGAGAAGCCGGCCTTTTATATCGTTAACGATCGTTCTAGAATTCTACAGTCGTTTCGGTATTCAACTAGAACTTAATCGGCCGTTGCCGACTGCATTCCTTTTGCGGTGATGTCATGTGCTTGTTCGCTGGCCGACATATCGATCAGGGGCGGCTTCAGATTCGTTACAGTATAATAGAACGTTTCGACTACAACAAGACAAGTCGGTCGAATGTATTTGCGAAGCTAAACTCGCTTGGATGCCGTCCTTAAAAACATACTCCGTATATTCAAAAACAAAATTGTATGTACTTTAAACAAGTACTTTTGTGTTTAGTGTGTAAATATCTGAAAGTAAGGAGGCAGAAATGTCTTTTACTCTTAAGTCTGTCGCGGAACATTTTAACAAAGATATCTATTTACGAAAATATAATGTGTATTCAAATGTACCACCACATTAATTTTCATTGCTTCAAATCAATCCAGGATCTCCCTGTTCGTGACAACATGGGAATTGCAAACATTCATTATCTTGGCTTTCTATTTATCTTTATAACCAGGTACTTATTTATTGATAATGGTGCAAACTAGCAAAAGATTACCTTATGCATTGTTATCCGTAACATATTGCCTACGTTTTGTTTATTCGTTAAATTTAAGGAAATTTAATCCAAATGGCTTTTTACTGTATATAGATAATAAATCTAGGGTCAATTGGTAATTAACACAAGCCAAAACACAAGTTGAGAATTGAGTTCAGGCTCTTCCCACGTGTAGAGAGTGATGACCGCTATAACAGCAGAGAGTCAAAGTTAAGGTACGGGTGTAACGGACGATTTATTGTCCTTGATGAAAAACTCACCTGAAACGCTCACTTGGAAAAAAGTTTTACACAAAGCCAGACTGTTCCTATGGACATGTTGAAGAATTTGTGGTAAAACTTGGGGTTTGGGTCTTAGACAAATCAATTGGTATTATGTGATGATTTTCAGACCAATGATCACTTATGGTGGAATTGCTTGGGGGCCGAAGGCTTCACAGAAAATGGCCCATGCGAAGCTCTCTGGCTTAAAGAGACAGGCTTGTCTGGCCATCAGTACCACACAGTCAACGGCCATGGAGATCCTTCTAGTTCTAGATCTAACTCCTCTCTACATTTTTCTGGAGGGAGAGGCTAGATGGACTGCATATAGATTTGTGCACATCGCCAATTGCAGAAATCAATTTAATGCAGAGTGCAACAGACTGCTGGTTGACACTGGAAGTCACAGCATTTTGGAAATGACATCTGACTTTATGCCTCCAACTGTCAACTACAAACTTCCTTATAAAGTACTGTTCCCGAGTAGAGAGGACTGGATCCTCCGGGAGAAGGAAATATTAAGAGCGGATAGTTGTTGGTTCACAGATGAAAAAACACCTTCCAGTTCTTATGCTGGTGTTTTCAGTCGCAGACCCAGGAAAGAGATATCAATCGGCGTAGGAACCTATGCGACTGTATTTCAAGCGGAAATTTACGCTATTGAATTGTATGCGGAGAGATTGGAGGAATCCAACCTCGTACAAAAGTCATTAAAAATTTTCTCGTACAGTCAAGCAGCGTTGGAAGCTCTTCAAGCTTTTCAAGCTCTGACTTGAAAGACCACTCACCATACAAACTAATCAGCTTCGTTCAGAAGCTGGGTTTGGTCGAGTGTGAAAAGATGTGAGCCACAATAAACTCTTGCTTCGATCAATAACGAAAAAACTAGATGGTCAGACATGAAGGTAATGCGTTGTGGTGAATTGGAAACATGAGAGGGTTTTCGACCCGCTCAAATGGTGGTAACTGTGAGAATGGTCAATGCTATGTTGGCCACACTGAATGGTTGAGGCGAGGTGAATCCCTCGTCGATCAACCTGATTAAGGCGCTTTCTATATAAGCCAGCATAGGAATGGTAAGTGTCACCGGAAAGATGAAAAGTGTTCATATCTAGGGTTCCATTCCACAGGGGGTACTGGTAAGACTTCACTGGTCCTCAGCGCCACATCAACCTATGAACACATCAAACGTTGATGCTGGTGCAGTGGAATAGCCACATGCAATTGTGGCCCACAGCGGGCAAGTATGTAAATTCACGCCTACTGTAGTCTCAATGAGCGTAGTCGTAAAGAACATCAATTGACACTTTATTCGATCAATCATTCCTGGCTAGATATGAAACAAGCTACCGCTATCATCAGGGTACATACTTGCTCTTTTTAGGAATAACATCAACATTGAAGATACTTTTGAATCTTTCCCCTTTGCGTCTTGTACCAATGGCGTGGAAGGTTGGATTATAAGAATCTGGGATGGAACATTTCCTGAGTTACAAGGGATTGAGGAAGGAACAAAATTTCGTAATATTGGAAGTAATTAACATCATTCATATTCACGGGCCAAATGACACCGAAATATACTTGTTAATATTGATATAATGAGAATGGCAAATTACTAAAAAAATTATTCGAAAGTGTTCTTGGGGAGAGTGATTATCCCATAAAATAAAACCAAACACAACTACTGCAACAACACCAAAAACCACAGACATTACCACAACATACACAACAACAGCCAATTTCTTAAAAACTCAACACCAAAATTGGAATGCCAGAGCCCAAAGAAATGAAAAGAAAACTAAAAGAAAAATCGTATAATTTTAAATGGAAATGAGAATGTGGCATCATGCTCAATCAATCTTGATCGAAATGATTACCACTTCTGAGAAAGAAAGCTGAACAGGCAAAATTTCGTAACAAGTGAAATACTCAGCATCTAGTATACTGGGGAAACTATTGTTCAATTCCGAAAGTACTTGCATCTGACATATATACAATGGTCCTGTTTTCAATAAGGCTTTGAGAACAGGAACTGAACTTTGAATAACGTTTCGTTAACCACGAAATTTTGTACAGAAATTTCAGTACAAAAAAATTATCAAATTTTGAAGTAGAACCCATGTATATTCACTGAATGAATACTTGGAGATATCCTATGGTTGGAAGTGGTCTCTGCAACAAAGATCTTGGAAGAAGCGGGAGTATTATAATTCTGATATTTCTGAAATTCCAGTTGGAGTTAACATGTTGAATTCTTTTTTATAAAGATGTAATGTTTCTTGAGAATAAAGCATCACTATCAGTAAAGAGAGTATATTCCATTAAAAATTCATATATTTTTAATTTTTGAGGTATTGACGCAAAATTTATGATGTGAAGTGTTATTCTGGTCAAATTTAGTAATTTTCACTTTTCATTTTAAAGTTTATTCGATTCCAGGGTGTGAAAACCCATAAATGCCAGGAGTAACTTTATACCTTTCCAATATTTTGAAAATATTTATCAAAATATACGTTTGACACAAACTGTGTGCGAAGAGTGAAGAATGAGCAGTTATCTCGAGAACTTTCTTGCCAGGAACACTTGGTATACGCCCTGAAATTATAAATCCAAGTGAACACTGATCTTTTCTGAGATACTACCCTCGTCCTCGCAATCAACGCATATACTACTGAAGATATCTGCCGCAGTAGCAGACGAAGCTTTTTCTCTCTAATCGTAACACCAACTGCAAAAACCAATGTTCTTATATTGTTCGCTTCCATGGGGAAGCCGTTCAGTGCCATTTCCGATGATCGGAATCCGGCTGGTTTGTTGCTGAGACTTCGAAGTTATCCCAAATTGTCTTTGTCAGAAGCGTACTTTTCAGATAGCTGCATCCAATCGGATCTACCAACATATTGAACAAGCTGTGCTGCAAAAACATCACACTCGTAAGAAGTGTCTTTGAGTCACTGAATGGAATTAGAGGATTGGCACAAGATGGAGTATATATCACTTCCATTTCTGCCTCAGTCCGAGCGTCTGCTACCACCAAACGTCAGAAGTAAAGTCAAACGTCAGAAGAAAATTTCGATAGAAATCGCTTTTTTGTTAATTATTCAGATCGCATTCTAACTGAAGATGAATATTATGTTCTTTCAAAACAAGGAGATTTTGCTGTGGTTCCTTATCCAGACTTCCTGTCGAAAACAGAAAGCATGATTATATCAATGAGAATGTGTCGTGAACTTTTCTTTGAAGATAGAATGTGATTACAAACAAGAGCCAAAAATTTCACCAAAAGTTAAAAATTATGCCAAAAAAAACCTGAAACTCAACAAATTTTCATATATATGACATATGATGAGTGAAAAGTCTATTTGATCGGAATATTGATCTTGGAGCTAACAGATTTGCAATTATCGAATGCTTTCCAAGGCAAGTGAGCTAATCGAGCGATCAGATGTGTGTTAAACGAACACACCTATCATACCACTGTTGATGATATAGACGATGATAAAGATATGATGTTTTCCTTACATATTGTTGTAAATCATGTCATAAAGAAAATAACGCCAGCCGCCACTGGTAGCCATTAATCCATTGTAACGTAGCTAAGAGAGCGCGAATCTATGATGTTCGCTGCCGCTCTAGATGTAGCGAGAAAAATGCTAACGATTTCGATGGAATTCCAGGGAATTTTCTACCGTATTCGATTACGATATACAAACGCTAGCCACTAACATATCGACACAGTCAAGTAGAAATTACAGTGAGGTATGCGAAGTGATCTAGTGAGGCGATAGACATATTTGAAGTTTTAGTTGAAGTGTGTTGTATTTGAAGTGAAATAAAGTTAAGTTGAGTTTTCGGTGTAGTCAATTATTGGTAAACCCACGGGGGAAAACGTAACAATATCTTAGACCGAATTTTTGTAACATATTACATAAAAAATTAATCAACTGCATAATAAATGTTTATAAAATGACATTGAAAACTTTTATGTTATGTTTCAATATTTTATTAATGTATTCAAGAAACACTTTGCTGTGAGATTTTCACTCTAAACAGTTTTACAAAAACGCAATACGTGTTTCGCTACACAATAGTTTCTTCAGGCGTGTCTTTGCCCCTGAAGAAGCTATTGTATAGCAAAACACGTGTTGGGTTTTTGTAAAACTGTTTAGTGAAAATCTCATAATAAAGAGTTTCTTGAATACGTTATGGATTTTCATCAAGTATCGGCCGATTCTATCACATATTTTATTAATGTAGGTGTTCCTCACAGTCAAAACAGATGTACCAGAAGATCAACTCGATCGACTTTTTTTCATTCTACGAAAGCGAGCAAGTCATACCATTCCTGCTCCTGGCAAGCGTTTTTACATTTGCTCCCTGAGCCGAAGGGTTGTGGTCTATAAGGGTCAGTTGACTTCCGATCAGCTATGGACCTTTTTCCCAGATCTGATGGATCCCATGTACGACACATATTTGGCCTTAGTCCACACAAGATTTTCGACCAATACGTTTCCTAGCTGGGAAAGAGCACATCCTTTAAGGTAAGCAATTTTTTAAATTATTCGTTGCCAGGAAAACTGTCTTAGCGAGTACTACAAGGGACGGATTTAGAGTCATATTCACAAAATGATTTATAATTATTCTTGATTCTTCTTCATTAGAACTAAATGATTAGTTTTTTCACCTATTGCAGAATGCTTGCTCACAATGGTGAAATTAACACCTTGAGAGGAAACGTGAACTATATGAAAGCTAGGGAAGGCGTTATGAAAAATGAAGAGTTCGGTGAGAAATTGAAGACTTTGTATCCTGTAGTAGAACCAAATTTGTCTGATTCTGGTTCTGCAGACTGTGTCCTAGAATTTTTAGTTCATGCTGGTAATAGAAAGTTACCAGAGGTAAGTCGTCATATTATAAAAGGTGTTCTTTTAAAAAATGCTTTTGAACTTCGTTCTTATAGTTTTTTTTTCATTTTAGTATCAGTTTAATTTGATAATTTCAAAAACAATTAGGATAGACGATTTTTTCATGAAAATCTAGTTTGCAGTGAAATATATTGATGTTTTGTTGATAAATTTCGTATATTTTTTTACTACAAACATTTTTGGTATTTTGAAATCAATTGAGTTTGCTGTAAAGTCAACATATTATTTTTCTTAGGCTGTGATGACTATGGTTCCAGAAGCCTGGCAAAATGATCCCACAATGTCAGAAGAAAAGCGAGACTATTACCACTGGACAGATTGTACCATGGAACCATGGGATGGTCCCGCATTGATTTCTTTCACTGATGGCAGACTGATTGGGGCAATTTTGGACCGTAATGGACTTAGACCATCCAGATTTTATATTACCAAAGATAATATGATGATTATGGCTAGTGAGGTTAGAATTGTTTCAAACGTGAATTTTATATTCATTTTCTAGTCCATAATTTTTTAAATATTTGTTTGATTGTAGGTGGGTGTATATGATATCGATCCTTCAGAAGTCGTTTTTAAGAGTCGTTTGAAACCAGGTAGGATGTTATTAGTAGACACCCAAGAGAAAACCGTTATCCAGGATATTACTCTGAAACAAGAAATTGCCAGATCGAGACCGCACAGTGAATGGCTTAAAGAACAGGTAAAAACATGAAACCTCGACTGTACACAGTATCTCAAAAATATTTTCCTGATTATAAGTTCAGACTTTCTGGCCTACTCTATGTTGAGTTTTGTTCTCTACTGTAATGTTAATCATTGATTTCGAAATCTAATTCTTTTCAATTTTCTCAATGAAAATGAAGTCAGATAATTTTTTGAAATTTTCTGGGAACAAACCTATAAACATTTCAGCAAGATGCCCCGGCGACGTCGCATTGACTTACTTTTGTCCTAAGTGTGCAAAATAATTTTTGATGTGTTTACAACAAGTTTTTTGCAATATCACTGACCCAAATTTATTGAGGCTCTAGATTGTTGTTGCCGCTAGATTTTTGCGACATCGCTATCACAATCTTTTGTGATGTCGCCAGCTCTAAATGCTTTATCGGACTCTACATCTTACCAACCAAGTTGTTGTCAACATTTTCTTATGGCGAGATGATAAACATGAAAACGAACACATCATACGTAAATGTTATTTAATGCTATTATTCATAAACAAACTTATTCATTCACTTCTAGAAATACTGAAACCCTAAGAGATAATCAAATAAATTTCGGTATGAATTTCATCATGAAACATTGTCAATCACCTTCAAACAAAAATTTCGGTATATTGCGCTATATTGTTACCACAGCAAGTAAGTAGGTTATCTGCAATGAAAATATTACATTAATCATAACCTGTCTAAAACCCAACTGAAACTAGAGATGGGCTTATCGATACGATATATCGATAAGGTATCGATAAACATTTTGAACATCGAATATCGATACAAAAAGTAATATCGATAAGAATATAATTGTTAGAATTTATTTAATTCATTTAGGTTACTTTTTGTTTTCGAGTTGTGAGAATTTGATTTATTCAGTAATATATTTTACATAATGTATGTTTTTTTATCTATTATATATCGATAAAAAATATCGATATATCGATAAGGAATATCGATACGAATTCAAAATATCGGTATCGATAAGATATCATATTGATAACATCTAATATCGATAAGCCCATCTCTAACTGAAACCTTCAAAAAGTATATGGGCAAAATTTAACACTCTCACAAGCCTAATAAAGCAGATAGGTACATCTTTAAAAAAACTAAATTTTCAAGTTCAAAAAAACTTCGTTTTTATGGCAGACACATCTACACATGAGTACACAAAATGATTGATGAATATGTAAAATATGAAAGTTGTTCAATGCCTCCAAGATAGCTTGAAGAGTCTATTGGTATCACAATTGTTACGTCTCATCATTAAGTCCAAGACACATCAGATGTAACAGGGATATTGCAGTGTTACATCTCAGCAGTTTATCTAGTATAAATTGGCCCGATATGATAGAGTGACATCACATTGTTACCTAAAGTGATATTGCGAAAATATGAGATAAAGGCCATGAGAATAATAGCCAAAGCAGGTTACAAAGATCACTGTCGTCCTCTTTTTATTCAACTTGAAATTATGACATTTCCAACATTATATATCTATAAAGTTTTACTAGAGATTCATGAAAACGTTAATAAATTTGACAGACATTGTGATATTCATGCATATGGAACGAGATCCACAAGTTTATTGGACCTGCCCAGACAAATTAACAATTAGTAAAAGAAATTTACTAAACGTACATTTGTATTATCATCTCCACTACTATTGAAAAATTTCTTCTACAATACTGTTTTATACCATTGAGGAATATTATATTGACAAGGCAGGGTCTTCAATTTAAGAAAGACCTCATTAAATCCTTGGTTTTATTGAATACATGATTTTATCCTTGTAACTCCAAACAAGGACTTCTGCATTCGTGACTTGCCGTAAATGTACTATACTCTACTCTATTCAAGAATTTTTTTTGATTATTGTGTACTATTGGGTAAATGCAAATATGTTTTGACAGTTATATATCAGCAACAGGAATATTTTACATATTTAAGTTAATATATTATTTGTTTTACATGAAAATTGGATGAACATCAGATGGTGAGTTCTAATGTAAATTATTGTGAGTGGTTTTAGTTTGAATTAAATGGTTTGTTGTTGTCTTAGCTGATTTTTCAGTAGATAGAGATTTTTTAATTTCTGTTTTTTTATTAATACAGCTTTTTAGGTAATAGCAAACCACCCATCGAAATTGGACTTCTCATGTGATTGATATAACTTTTCCAGCTTCGGAAGGGATTTCAGGTTTCTTGAAGAAATTGCAGAGTATATGTGAAGAAGCTGAAGATGCATCTAGGAAACATCAGATCATAATTCTTTCTGATAGACTTGCGGGAAAAGATAGAGTGCCTATTAGCAGCTTATTAGCTTTGGGTATGTAAAAATTTTACAGGATTTATTTCATTTCGAAAAGAAAAAATTTCAAATGAAAAGACAGTTCAGTTCAGCATCTGACTGACAACGTGCAAAAAAATTTGTATATAACAATTCTAACTTGCTAGCAAGCAAGTAGTACTGCAGCCAAGGTAGGGGGAAATTATCAGAGTGTTAAACACCAACATCAATAATATATAAAAAATTAAGAGAAGTAATAGTGAAAAGAGAAAAAGGAGAAGAAAGAAAAAAATTTCAAATGAAGTTAACTTCACGATATTTCATACTCACAATCTGGACGTGAAGTAGCTTGGTTTAGAATCTTTTTCTTTTTTCACCACTATTTTTCTCTATTTTTATTTTTTCCATATTATTGATATTTTACTTTTTGTTAATATCATTTTTAACGTAATATTTTTAACATTTTCGATATTTCTTTCTTTACAAAATAACCTTATACTTTTACATTTCAAATTCACTATTCATTTCTTTTAATATTTCTTTCATCATTTTCTTTTTTTTTTCCTAACTTATCCAAATTTTTCATATGGTTATATTTTCGATATTTTATTCATTTATCTTCTCTTATACTCCAAATCTATTTAAGGCAGTGGAAGTCCGGACCTCCAACATTGACTTAATTGTTTTTTTAGGAGCAACCCATCATCATCTTATCGAATCACGATTAAGAATGAAAATTGCTCTAGTAGTAGAAACAGCTGAAGCCCGAGAAGTCCATCATATTTGCGTTTTGCTTGGCTATGGAGCTGACGCAATTTGCCCCTATCTTGCTCTGGAACTTGCCTCTAGCCTCCGTGACCAAGGGATTTTGGATACCTCACTGACAGATGAAGCTATTTTTCAAAACTATTCCCAAGCAATGTCAACTGGCATCAGCAAAGTTATGGCCAAGATGGGCATTTCTACTTTGCACTCATACAAAGGCGCACAAATATTTGAAGCTGTAGGTTTGGCTGAAGACGTCATAGAGAAAGCCTTCAAAGGCACCCCTTCGAGACTTGGTGGCGTTAACTTAGAAATGTTAGCTGTAGAGGCTTTTGAAAGACACCAGAATGCGTACAAGCTAAGTCCGGATGCTCTTATTTTGCGAGATGCTGGAATTTACCATTGGAGAGCAGGCGGAGAAAAACATTTGAATGAACCAACTAGTATTGCAGCATTACAGGTATACACATTGAATAATTTCATAAACTTAAACACCTGACGTTTTTCGATGTTTTTGTTCATTAAACATTTTTCTCAATATTTACTGGTCAAATATATAAGGTCAACTGAAAATAAGTACTGAATATATTTTATTGTTATTGTCAATTTGAAAAAAACTACTTTGATTTTTATTACCTTAAAGGAATCGGCAATAAACAAAAATAAAACTGCCTACGAAAAATTCAGGGAATCCACTATGGAGTCGGTAAGGAACTGCATGCTGCGTGGAAGATTTGAATTGAGAACATATGATCAACCCTTGCCCTTGGATGAAATTGAACCAGCTTCAGAAATTGTTAAAAGATTTGCCACTGGTGCAATGAGTTTTGGTTCTATTAGTTTGGAAGCACATCAAACCCTTGCCATAGCCATGAACAGAGTAGGAGGTAAGCTGTTCACTTCTTCATTGTGTCAGTGCATACTGATGGACAATTTTTCCAGGAAAAAGCAACACTGGAGAAGGTGGTGAAAACCCTGAGCGATATTTGGATAATCAAAAACGATCAGCCATTAAACAAGTTGCTTCAGGACGATTTGGAGTTACATCATCATATTTAGCACATGCAGATGATTTGCAAATCAAGATGGCACAAGGTGCTAAGCCTGGTGAAGGTGGAGAACTACCAGGGTAGATATTAGAATTAATTTTTTATTGATTTGAATAAAATCGATTATTCATATAATACTTACACCTTACCTACGATTATTTTCAGATACAAAGTGTCCACTGAAATAGCCAGAACTAGACACTCTGTAGCAGGCGTAGGTTTGATTTCACCTCCACCTCATCACGACATCTACTCCATTGAAGACTTAGCCGAGTTGATATATGACTTGAAATGTGCGAATCCCTTAGCTAAAATATCTGTGAAACTAGTTTCGGAAGTGGGAGTAGGAGTGGTAGCATCAGGTGTTGCTAAGGGTAAGGCCGAACATATTGTTGTTTCAGGACATGATGGTGGTACTGGGGCCAGCTCCTGGACTGGAATCAAGAGTGCTGGTTTGCCTTGGGAGTTAGGTATTGCTGAAACTCACCAAGTGTTAGTCTTGAATAACTTGAGGTCGAGAATTGTTTTGCAGGCCGACGGAAATATAAGAACAGGTGAGATAATGTGATTTGATGATAATGAATAGTTCACTCAACAAAACCATTTGTGTAGGTTTTGATGTAGTTGTTGCTGCACTACTTGGAGCAGATGAAATAGGTTTCAGCACAGCACCATTAATAGTCATGGGTTGTACGATGATGCGCAAATGTCATTTGAACACTTGTCCTGTAGGAATTGCTACTCAGGACCCAGTACTCAGGGAAAAGTTCACGGGTCAACCGGAGCATGTTATCAACTATATGTTTATGCTCGCCGAGGAGGTTAGAGAGCACATGTCAAAACTTGGGGTAAGTTGAATTTTTATAGATATCATACTTGCATAATTTCCTATTTTATATGTTTCCAATTAATTATTGAAGAACCAGAATAATGTAGTCTGGAAAGTTCAATGCAATATCATCAGCACTAGATAGGCGGTCCTCGATTGAAGACAAATTATGAAAAACCAAGACGATGAAGTTATCAAAATTACTTCGTAAACGGAAGCGAGACATAAGCTGAACGACTTATGTCTTGGTTTTTCACAATTTGTCTTCGATTGAGAACCACCTAACTGCCATTGACAATGCCATATAGACCTAAACAGTTGCAGTGCTCATCTACTTATTTCTTCATGCCATGTATATTATAACTGCCTCATCAGTAAAATAACGAATTTTACCTTCAGATTTTAAATAATATAGATCGTTAGGATCTAAAATGGATCCAACACAGAACTTTGGGGCACTTAATATTGAAATATTCCCTCGAGAGAGAGACAGAGAGAGAAATTTTAATTTGAAATCCCAATCCCATTAAAACCAACTTTCTTCAATATTCCCGGAAGCATTATGTGGTTGATTTTATCAAATGCTCTGTTTGAATCAAGAAATTCGCATAAATTTGGTATTTTTTTACCTAAACACTAATATGTATATATACATACAGGCCGTTTTTTTGGCTGTTATCTCGGTAACAGTAAGAGATCTACAAGGTCTTTAAATTGGACAAAAGTGTCCTATTCGAAGGAACTAGAATAATCTCTTTTCATATCGAGAGTATCACTGGTTGTTTTTGAAATATTCGCGAAAAACTAGAATTGTAGAATTTTGTTTTTTGCCTCAATCGCCTCCATTTCGAATGATATAAAAAAGAAAGCAGAGGAAATTCCAATACCTACTGTTTTTATGTTATGATCTGATATAAACCAATGCGAAGTTTCGTTCTTTAGGAGAGATTCATTTTTGGATAAGAAAGATTTTGGCTTTGTATAAAGATGGAGTGAAAAGCCAAAATCTTTCTTTCCCAGATTCCTCTAGTTCTCCAAAATAGTAAACTTTCATCCAATTTATAAATAATCAATTTGATAAATATCAAATAAATATAGGTGTGTACTTTGGGAGAGATGAATGTTTTGAGATTTCATTTCGTTATACCATAACAACATAATACCAACCATACCAACTATACAAATTTGAAACCATGTTGTCGCAGTTTCTTTGCTTCTCTTAGTAGTTTGGTTGTTTAAGATATACATACTATAAGTATTACATTAACTTGAAACTCCTGAAGGTTAGTAGAAGCCAGAAAAACAGATAATTATACCGTTATACCACAACAATATAATATCAAGATGAATTGCCAAAATAGTAGTGTGTTCCATTCTAATCATGATAAGAACATAATACCATCCATCCGTCATTATATCAATGTTATTCAACTGTTCTTTATTCCCCTCTCCTTGAACCAGTTTGGTTAGGTACTTTGAAATATGTTATCCATTTATGAAATAATCCATGAAAGAATAGAATATTTTCAAACTTGTTTCAATAAATTTCACACCAAAAAGATGAAGAAATTAAGTAGACACGAGACGAATGAAGATTGTCTTTTTCAAAACTTGAATCAGTGTTTGTTTCCCGTATAAATTTCCCTTAAGTTCTAACTTCAAACTGATTTTAAATATCTCTTCATCAGGTACGTACTTTCCAAGAACTAATTGGTAGAACTGATTTACTGAAAGCTGTAGATAACGGTTCTCAAAAGTCCAAGATGCTTAATCTGAATTTAATTCTACAAAATGCACTTCACATGCGACCTGGTGTTAATATTAAAGGTGGCTCTGAAACACAAGACTTTCAATTGGAGCAACGCTTAGATCATCAATTGATTGAGAAAGCGAAGCCAATCATTGATGGTGATGAAAAGTCATTAGATATCGAGATGAAGATTTGTAACGAAGATAGAGCATTTGGATCAACGTTAAGCTACCACATTTCACGGTAAGTTTCACTAAAATGTTAGGTGTATTCCCTACTAGATCTTAATCTGTTCTAATATAAAAAATTAAAGTTTAATCTCAATTTTTATCAAAGTCCTCCTCAGATATGATACACTTGTGCCAACGTTTTCTCCAATCTTTGAAGTAGTTCTGATATGCACTTTATGGTATATCCTTGAGCTCTCTCGGTTTTTATCTCTTCAATAGTCACAAAACGCCGTCTTTTCATGAGTCTCCTCAATCTTGGGAACAAGAAAAAGTCGCAGGGGGGCAAGTCTGGTGAATACCGTGGCTGAGGCATGATTATGTTGTTGTTTTTGTCAAAAAAAATATGAACACGTAATAACGGGTGAGCATGTGCATTATCGTGACCCATTAATTGTTTTTCCATAATACCGGACGTTTTCTTCGTATTGCTTCTCGCAAGCGGCACATAACTTCCAGATAATACTCCTTATTGACCGTGCGACCATGTGGCAAGAACTCTTGATACACTACGTCACAGTAATCGAAGAAAACTGTAAGCAAAACCTTGACCTTCAATCGAACTTGGCGTGCTTTTTTTGGTCTTGTCTCTCTTTGGTTACGATATCATAACCATATACCCATTATGGTATTATTTCTTGCTTCGAACAACTCAAAAACTTTCATTTTGAAAATGTTAGTTTTTTGAATAATCAATTTGACAACAACATGATATTAGCGTTGAACATAAGATTTCTAAACCATTCACTTTATTAATTACAGTTATTAGCTTTTTCAAGTTCACATATTGAGTTTGCATCACCGTTAAGTTCCAAGTTAATCGTTTTCTGTTTAATTTCTTTAAGAAGATCAGTGAAATCAAAATTGTGGGCATTTACATTTTCTGGAAAGCTTAATGGATGAGGGCTTCTAGTTTTAGTTTCAGGTCAGCTTACGTCCCTCCTGTTTCTTGATTAAAGTGCGTAAAATTTCGGTCAGCTGCTGTTTATTCAAATTCTGGAAGAACATCTTAACCATTTCTTTTTTAAAAAACGGGGTCACCAATTGTAGTATTATTTCTTGCTTCAAACAACTCACCACACCTATAATTCCTCACCAGTTATGACCATTTTAAACAAATCTGGATCGAAGTTGATATCATTCGACAATTCCTAAGCGATGCTCATGCAACAGTTTTTTGGTCAAAATTCAGCAATTTTGGAATGAACTTCGCTGCCACACGCTTCATGCCTAAAATTTACAAAAAAAATGTATGCCGACATCCTCAGCAACTTCTCTAATAGTGATTTGTAGATTTTCCATAACAATTTTCTTCACTTTTTCAAAATTTCCATCGGTTGTTGATGTGCTGAGACGTCCAAGGCGACCGTCGTCATTGATATTTTCTCGATCTTCTGTGATAAGCTTGTACCACTTGTAAACATTTTTCTGATTCAAAGTACAATCGCCGTATGCCACTGTCAAAATTACAAGTGTTTTGAGCACTCAATTCCATTTTTCGTACAAAAATTGAAACAAATTCTTTGATCCAATTATTTTTTTTATAGCAGAAAATCACCGAACATGCAAACGTTTATAACTTGTATGCCTCTCACCAACAAACTAAACATGCTCAACAGCTGAAACTGAACATATGTTCGAGACGATTGTACCAACATGAAAAAAAAAATCGCTAATTGAACAGACTCTTATATAATGATATAAAGAATAAGAAAGTGTTATGAATTAGTTCATTTTCTTGTGACAAAATCAACAATTGAATTGAGTTTGTCATGTAAGTTTTTTTAAACGGATGGTTAGGTATTGAGGTTTTTATTTTATTTGCATATTTCAAAAAAATGCTAGAAATCATTTCAAATTGCTGTTCAAAATTTTTAGTAAATACCAAGAAGATGGTCTGCCTGCAGGTAGTCATATAAATATTAAACTAACGGGATCTGCCGGACAGAGCTTTTGCGCCTTTTTAGCAAAGGGTGTTACCGTCACTTTGGAAGGAGATGCCAATGACTATGTCGGTAAGTCCGCGCATCCAATTATTGTTATGTAAAGTAAGTAAATTGGGTATTGGCTTTGGAATTTGAATTTATATTTTGTTTTAGGCAAAGGTTTATCCGGAGGGGTTATTGTAATATATCCACCAAAATCCTCTCCTTTTGAATCTCATCTAAATGTTATAGCTGGCAATGTTTGTCTTTATGGAGCAACTTCTGGAAGAGCTTACATGAGGGGAATTGCGTCAGAACGATTTGCAGTAAGGAATTCTGGAGCTATTGCTGTTGTTGAAGGTGTAGGGGATCATGGTTGTGAATATATGACTGGTGGAGTTGTCCTGATTTTAGGTGAGAAAAAATTTGGTAACATTTATAATATTCCTACTTCTGTATCTGTAGGATTAGGGAGGGTGAGTTGTCCTCCTAGGTCATCGTCCATCCTGTCCTTTCCAGGAAGGTGGACAGGTCACTGGGAGACATCTCCTTTATATCGGCAGGTGTGGGCCAAGACTCACCGAACATACATTCTCTTATTGACGATAACTCCGGGCACTCGCATAGGACATGCCTGACAGTCTCATCTTCCTGTTCACACTTCCTGCATAGAGGTGTGTCCACTAGCCCCATATTATGGAGGTGTTTCCTTAGTTGACAGTGGCCAGTCAGAAATCCTAGTGTTAAGCGTTAATTTTTCCTGGTCATCACCAGATATATCTTCGGCGCCAGCTTCCCAGCTTCCTGGCAAGATTGCATCCTTTGATTCCATCCCATCTCTTTAGGGATTGAGCATGGGTGTAACATTTGGTGTGTATGTGTGTGTGGTTTGAATTTTTTGGCTTTGGGAGAACCAATTAGCCAGACTGTTTTAATAAAAAACTAATTGAAAGTAACATTGACTAGTTCCGCAATTGTCGAAGTCATCAGGCCGTAGGTGCCACTGGGTCCTGAAATTCTTAGTCCAGCCGCTTCCTTGGCTAAAGAGTTGGCAATGCGATTACCTTTACTCCTGTTGTGCCCTTTAACCCACCTCAGGATAATGTTTTTATCTACCGAGGCTTTGGCTAAATCTTGGTGACACTCTAGTACTAGCCCTGAGGTTACACATTGTCTGTTCAAAAGTAATATGGCAGTGCAGATTGTTATGTTTTTGCCAGAAATTCCTTTCCTGGTTATTTCTTTTGTGGCGATTGAGATACCAGCCAGTTCTGTTTGGACCACGCTGGTATTTTTTCCCATTCCCCACTTAATCCTTAGGCTTAGTGATCTGGAGTACACTCCACATCCTGAGCCTTCTTTGGTTTTTGAGCCGTCTGTATATATGCGTATATACTCATATAGTTATAAAAATGTCACAGGAGGTGGAAAGTCAGGATGAAGTACTTTGAAATTTACTGCCCTAAAAACTAAAAATACAACATTCAGCTGTTGACCAGGTGGAACTTGATGAATTTTATGGAGAAAAATATAAAGATATTGCAAGATATTAGTGAATGAATGAATCTGTATTGAATAGGAAACTTATCCTAATATACATACAATTGAAAAAAGAAAAAATTAATAACAAAAAAAGCTATCATCAACATGTACATAGGTCCTTAAACATGAATCGATATATAATGATAATATTGGATCAAATATCAGTGATTAGATCTTATATGCATTAAGACCTAGTTTTAAATTCATTAATTGCTTTCACATCTTTTATGTGATTAGGTAGTTCATTGTATTATTTCAAACCCTTATAAAATAATGATTTCATTGACTTAGTAAGACTAATTTGTGAATTAAAGACAACCAAATCATTAAAGAATTCTGGCATCAACTTATTCAAATACAATCAAACAATATAACGCTCTGCCCAGTGAATTTAGACACATTTGTTAGCATCAAAGGAATATAATATACTTCCACAGAAAACAAAGCGAGATGGAATAATTGTATTATAAACCGTTAACCTAGAATATAAAGATAGCTCAGATGAGACTCTAGTAAAGAAATATATCTTTTTCGAAATTTTACTGTAATATAATCAAAATGGGCATTGAAAGAAAGAGTGTTATCTAGCATGAAACCCAAATACTTAATCTCGTTTACAAATGTATTTATTGAAAGTATATATTGGTCCACATTTTATTTTATGTGATGTAGATAATAACATTGCTTTAGTTTTATTTATATTAAGTTTTAGTTTATTGTTATTCAGATAGGAATGAATTTTTGCTAATGAGTTGTTCATTTTGTGATGGCGCTATCCAAATTACCTCTTGATAACGTTGTATCATCAGCACACAGGTTACTAAAGTCAAGGAATGGAAAAGATGAGTGTCATTTACATACAACAAGAACAATAATGGTCCCAAGACACTACCTTGTGTAACGCCAAATGAATTTTTAACAAGTTGATAAAAACTTTGGGTTGATTTTAGTTACTCAAGTACAGTTACTTTAATACTAGCAGCTTCTAGTTGTCTTATTAGAATTTCAGATCAATTGTCTCAAAAGTTCGTTTCAAATCCAAGAATACTGCAATAATATAATCACCTTTATCAATACTTTCTTTCCATTTAGTGTTAGCTGCAATGATGATTCACATGAATGATGTTGTCAAAAGCCTGATTGATTTTCAAAGAAAAAATTATCAATATTCAAGTATTGTAATAACTGCTGATATACTACCAGTTATAATTTATTTCACGACTAGTTAAGGTATTATTTGGTTGATATTCCCAAGATTTCACCGTGTTAGAATGCACTTCATCTCATTTTTGTTATTTTTTTTTTAGGTTTGACTGGCAGAAACTTTGCTGCAGGTATGTCAGGTGGCATTGCGTACGTGTGGGATGTTGATGGCAAATTCTCAACCAAATGCAATATGGAAATGGTGGAGTTGTGTAAGCTAGAGGACAAAGAAGATGTTATGTTTGTGAAAACTCTCTTGGCTGAATTTAAACAACTCACCGGAAGCATTGTTGCTGAAAAGCTTATAGATGAATTTGACGTTCGAAGGAAAGAATTTGTGAAAGTGTTTCCTTACGAGTACCAAAGGGCCTTGAAACAAAAAGTTGTAGAAACACCGGTGACTCAGGCTCCATCCAATGAACCAAAGATACAGGATATAGAAGATACTATAGGAGATTCGTCTGCAGAGCAGAAGAAGGCTGAGAGAGCTCTTGATAAAGTCAGAGGTAGGTTTGAAATAGGAACATACCCACGTTTTATTCAATATAGCAATTGTAATAGTAAGCGAACCTTTTAAAAACTCACACTTGAGATTGAAAAAGGATATTTTTGTACAAATATCATCAAAGTATGTAAAAGATTAACTTAACTTCTGCAGGTTTCATGAAGTATCCTAGAGAGACGACTCCCTACCGCCCCGCAGAGAAACGAATGAAAGATTGGGATGAAATTTATAACTTTACTCATGTTCGTAAGGGTCTACGTGTACAGTCAGCAAGGTGTATGGAATGTGGTGTGCCATTCTGCCAATCTAATTCTCACGGTTGTCCTTTAGGCAACATAATTCCTAAATGGAACCTTCTTGTCTTTCAGAACCAGTGGAGACAGGCACTCAACCATCTGCTGCAGACTAATAATTTTCCAGAATTCACTGGTTAGTATTCATTTCACAAAACTTACTACCTAAAAAACAAGACTGTATTTCACAATTGTTACACATTTAATTCCTCAATCATTCAGCCTAGTTACTACTATTTTTTTTCAAACTCCTGCAGGACGAGTTTGTCCGGCTCCTTGTGAAGCTGCATGTGTCTTAGGCATATCAGAGCCCAGTGTAACAATAAAGAATATCGAATGCGCCATCATCGATCATGCTTTTGAAAATGGTTGGATTGTGCCTCAGGTTCCTAGTACTCGTTCGGGAAAATCGGTCGCCATTGTGGGTTCAGGCCCAGCCGGACTTGCTTGTGCTCATCAACTGAATAAAGTTGGACATTCAGTGACAGTGTTTGAAAGAAATGACAGAGTTGGTGGGCTACTCCAGTATGGAATCCCTACAATGAAATTAAGCAAAACAGTGGTGCAGAGAAGAGTTGATCTTCTAGCAGCAGAAGGAATTGTTTTCAAAACAAATGTCAATGTAGGAAAAGATATTTCTGCGAAAGAGCTCAGTGAGGAGTACGATGCTGTGGTTCTGACAACTGGGGCTACTTGGCCAAGGGATTTACCTCTTCCAGGTAAGTAAATGATGTATTCAGGTATTTTTTCATTTGTCTTTCAATGGTTACACCATTTGTAAATTTCAAAATCATTAATATTAACACAATATTAATACTAATATTGAGATGGCTTTATGATTAGCATCACAAAATCACACTTCTTAACCTATTCCTGAATACATTAAATGACTGGCTAAAATACACTGATTCAAAAAAGTTATTCACAGTACTCATTATTCTATGAAATGTCATGTTGGCAATAAATAATAAAAATAATTTATTTTCCCAAGAAACATACAATGTTCATACTAGGAAAAAGGAACAATATAGAAAAGAACAAAAATAAGTTCAACTAATTTTCCTAAATAAAATTGTATGGAATATAAAAAAAACAACAAATCGAATGTTTACTAATAGTTAGGTACTCTAATAGTCGAAAACCTTAGATTTTTTGAATGCCTTGTTGAATAGTTATGTTGATCACTATTCATTTGGAAAATCAAATTTGAATGTTTCAACTCATTTTATAACAGATGTATGAAAAATATATAGTTTGTGTTTATTTGAAATTGATATGTCTAATATGTTTTTTGGTTTATATAAATCAACAGTTGGTTCCTTATAATCTAATTTGAGAATACATTCAATAACTTTATTCTGCAGTATTTTCAGAAGTTTGAATAGAGCATTTGATGCTGCTCCCCAAACTGATAACAAAGACTGCAGTTTCAAAGGTGCTGGTCTGAGCATAGATCCTTGTAGAATTTCACATATTAAATTTTTCAGTGACCCATAAATTTTCCCTATTATATAAATAATTTTGGAACCAATTGTGTATTGTACCTCTGATACACACATTGTATACAATATTTGAAAGAATTTTATGACATACCTTATCAAATGCTTTTCTGAGGTCTAAAGAGAGCAGTGCACATTTCATATTCAAATCTAAATTGATTTGAATGAAAAAAAGAGAATTGAAACTTTCTATGTTTTTCAACACTTTTATTCGTAACTAACGTTACTACAGTTTCAATTTTCTCTTCTTCGTTGTGATTTCCAACCAAGTAGTAACGGCTACATCTATCAATTTATTAAATTGATTTGAAATTGTTATTACATCTAATACAGCAGATTCTGTATCACATTGTTTCAAAACCCATATTGAATATTATACAATAGTTTTGATTTATCAAGATATTAAAATCATCTAGAATGCATTTTGGAAAGAACTGGCAAAACTGAAATAGGTCTATTTCATCAGTTCGGACTTCCATTGTGTAATATAATATAAATTGATTTGAAATTCCAAGTTATGCCACGACATTTCGATTGTTAGTATCCACAATCGTCTTCGGGTGATAACTGGACTTACTCCTCCGAGATCCGACTATTTATAGGCCATTCGAGTGCTTTCACCTATCCCCTCCTCTCTCTCTCCGCTTCATTGGTTTTAGCGGAAGATGACCGTTTGGCGGAAGATGACCGTTTGGCGGAAGTTGGTCATTTTTTGCTTGATTAGAGGTTTCCATATGTTACGTATCTCTACGCTAGCTTGACTAAATGCGTTGTTGGACATCATATACGCGGCTTCTTTGAATTTTCTCCTAAACCAGTCTTCCTCTTTGTGGATGATTTCAGCTTGAGCCCACTTGATATTATGTTGATGAGTCCAAACATGCTCTGCTATTCCGGATTTGCTGGTTTCTCCTCGCTGTGTGTGTTTCTTGTGCTCAGCAATGCGAACTTTCAATGGCCTCTTAGATTCACCGATGTATGATTCTCCGCACTCGCAGGGTATCCGGTAAATGCAGTTCTTGGAATCGCAGTCCGTGTTTGGTGGCCTGGTTTTCGTGAGGCTGCTACGGATAGTGTTCCCAGATCTGAAGCAGGTCCTGATTGATGTTATACTTGGACCCAATCCTTCGTATCCGTAGGGAAGTACAAGTACTGGTTGTGGCGGCTTCTCTTCCTTGTGGAGCTCTTGCTGTCTTCTAGCTACAGCCTGTTCTACCATCACTCTGGAGTAACCATTCCGTTGAAGGTCATTTTTGATGATGCCTAGTTCCCTTTCGAGACCTTCCTTTGTATTACAGAGCCCGAAGGCACGTTCTAGAGTCTTGATGATTCCTCTCTTAGTCGATTGATGGTGGTTGGATTTCTGGTTCAGATGTGTTGAGTGGGTTTTCGATATACAGATTTTTCCCATTTACTGTCGGTCCTCTTCACCAATACGTCTAGGAAAGGCAATTCGTTGTGGACTTCCTTTTCCATTGTGAAAGTGATGGAAGGACTTAATTTGTTGATGTGCTTCAGGAAAGTGTCTAGTTCTGCATTCCCAAGGTTCCATATTATGAAGGTGTCGTCTACGTATCTCAACCAGACTCGGGGCTTCTTATGGGCTTTTTCAATGGCCAGAGTTTCAAACCACTCCATATATATATTAGCTATAACCGGTGATAGTGGCGATCTCATTGGTAGTCCCTCATCTTGCGTAATGAATTCGTCCTTCAGTTGAAAGTAGCAGTTTCATACACAGCATCCTAGTAATTCCATGATTACTTGTATCGGTAAGTCTGATCTATCTTTCAGGTCCCCATTTTCGTATAGCTTCTTCTGTATGATCTGAAGTGCTTCTTCGACAGGAACGTTGGTGTAGAGGCTTTCCACGTCAAAACTGATCAGTTGATCCTGCTCTTTGACTTCGATTTTCCCTAGTAGTTCAACGAAATGCTTTAAATTTTTCACAAAAGATGATGTTTTACCTTGCAATGGTTTAATTATTGGTAGTAAAAATCTGGACAAGTTCTGAGTGGCTGAATCTCGGGAGCTAATGATCGGTCTGAGCGGCACATCCTTTTTGTGGATTTTGGGTAGTCCATACAAGTGAGGGAGCTTACTGTGGTGCGGTGTTAGCGATAATCTCTCTTTTTCCAAAAAATAGACTTGGTGTTTTTTCAAAGTCTGGTACAACTTCCTTTCAATTGATGCAGTAGGGTTTCTTACGATCTTCGTGTATTTTCCTTTCCGAAGCACCACTTCGATCTTCTGTTCGTAGAGATCAGTGTCCATCACAACAGTAGCGTTTCCTCTATCTGCAGGTAAGATCTTGATGGTGTTGTCTCTACGTAGCCCGTTCAGGGCTCTTCGTTCTTCATTGCTGACGTTAGAAGTGGGAACTGGTTCTCGATCTAGCTATTCTCTGATTTTCCATCTGAATTCTTCTGCCTCGATCTGATCCATAAGGGAACTGGTGGATTCTACTGCAGTCATTATTTCCAAAGTGGGCACAGATGTTGATGCAATGGCGAAGTAGACCTTTCCTCATCACAGATTCCTCTATGTCCGTGAGCGGGCGGGAACTCATGTTGATGACGTTGGTGGCTTCATAGCTGTCCTGTTCTCGTTCCGCATTTGGGTATTGTTTCCTCACCAACTTTCCCCACTTCCTGTTGTGGGTATTCTCTATGTCTTGTCGGATCTTCAAGCACGTGCTTTCAATCTTGGCAAAGGTCCATGATACTCTTCCAAGGCCTCTCTTCTTATTTCTTCAAAAACAAGAGACAATTTGACAGCAAATTCACACAACAATGACCAATATTCAAATTATTTTTAAGTTCTCCCTATATTCGATCAATGATAAACACAATTCTTCTTTCAGTAGTGTTGATTAAATAAACTTCACTTGTTTTTCTATAAACAAACCTGTAATAAATTGTAAGATAATTTTATCCAACTATTACCAGTTCTATTTTTAGATCACTTTAAATTTTTATTTGTTATCAACTGTTTCATGTTTTGTCCAGGTCGTCAACTGGGAGGTATCCATTTTGCCATGGAGTTCTTGGAAAGTTGGCAGAAGAAACAGTTGGGTTCCCATCTCGAAGGTCCTCATGCCAAAGATAAACATGTCATAATCATCGGTGGTGGTGATACAGGTTGTGATTGCATTGCCACGTCTTTGAGACATGGGGCTGCAAGTATAACAACTTTCGAGATATTACCAGAACCAAATCCAAAAAGATCAAATGATAATCCATGGCCGCAGTGGCCCAGAATTTTCAGAGTTGATTATGGTCATGAAGAGGTTAGTGTACGGTTGATTTTTGATATAGGGAATGTTTTGAAAATGAGTAAAAATCATGTCGAGATTTCAAAACTATCCTAAAATACAGGGTAATCCATTTAAAAAAACTGGGTTTTGCCTCGGAAACTTTCTACCAAGGAAGCTATGGTGTTAACTAAACACGTCTAGAAATAAAAAATATTTGCGAAAATTGTTCAAATATTATCATGGATAGTGTCATTAATTTTCATCAAGTGAAGGCCAGTCCACTCAAGGGCGGATCCAGGGGGGTTATGAGACCCATGAAACTTGATCTTCTTCTTGAAGATGATCACTTGGTGATCGAAACACGTGTTAAGGTGTTAAAACAACGGTTTGGTGTTGGGAAAAAACTCCAGTGATATTCATTTCTACACCAAAGGTTCCAAACAATGCATCACATGTACTTTCAATATTTAATTAATTTAATATATTACTTTGACGGCATACACATTATTCTGAAACAAACGCGTTGAAAGTTTGATTATACATTATTACTAGATAATACTCCAGTTTCTGTTGTTTCAAATGAATATTTGCTGTAAATGGTAAAGTGGCGGTGGAGTCAGGACATACCACAGTCGATTTCTGACCTTATTTTAAACCGCGATATTGAGATGTATTCTAAAATAGGAAAAAAATTATGTATTATGGCTACTACACTACCTGTTAGTGTAGCAACAGCGGAAAGATTTTTCTCTGTGATACGAAAAATAAAATCGTGGCTAAGAGCTTCAAAGGATCAAGAACATCTAACCAGACTGGCGCTTCCCCACGTCCATAAAAACGTACTCATTGAAGTAGATGATGTGATAATGCGTTTGTTGCGGGAGAAGGTGTAAAAGAAGAATTGATTTTGTTATTAAAACATCTTGTCTCTATTATTATAAAAATTAAATTATTTTATTAATGTGACCTGACCACGACTGTGTGGTTCCCCCCTGGCGTCAAAGCTGGATCTGTCCTTGAGTCCATTCATAATTAGCCATCGAGTCCGAACACCTTGTATAACATTTTGGAAATGTTACTCCTACAAGACCATGGAATGAAATATTTCGATGAATCAATAATAGCTTATTTATGTACGAATATTCTATGAAAATTTTGAATTTTATGGGGGAATCACTCGGGAGTCGAATACTTAGATTTTTTGAGTAAACAAATGAATATCTCGAGAACAGTTCATTTTTGCTAGAGTGTATTGCATAATCTTATATTCCCATATAACCGGAAGTGGTGGAGAAACGTCAGTATTTCCATTCGATGAAGCATATTAAAAAGAAAACTCGTTTGCCAATTTTCATGATGTATTTCCTATTATTCGTCAAAATACGGTTAACTGACAGTTAGGTTAGGTTAGGTCTAAAGTCAGTGGGTCTATTCGACCCTCCACCGCAACCCGCAAGGGTTTATTGTAGCTCACACCTATTTACACTCGGTCAAATAAACCCAGCTTCTTAACGAATTTTTTTCATGACAAATGCCAAGGTATATATGGAAAACCTCTCTGAACATTTAAGAAATCTGGCACTTTAGATGAGCTGAACTGAAAAAAAAAAGAAAATGCAGATCTTGACAATATTCATTAATATTTGTTCTCCATTTTGTTATTGAGCCAATTAGTTTGTATGGTGAGTGGTCTTTCAGGTCAGATGGTAAGAGTACGGATCTGCCGAACTCTAAGAACCTGATTAACTGACGGTCGTCGCGCTGTACCCTGTAGATTTCACTACATATTTTAAAGTAACTCATATTTTGGTATATTTTAGGTCAAAGTAAGATATGGTTCTGATCCCCGCGTCTTCAGTATTATGACCCAAGAATTTCTTGATGATGGCAAAGGACATGTTAGCGGCGTCAAAACCGTCAATGTTGAGTGGAACAAAGATGATAGTGGCCGTTGGCAAATGAACCAAGTACCTGGTACAGAGAAAATTTTCAAAGCTGATTTGGTTCTCCTTGCCATGGGCTTTTTGGGTCCAGAGAGGGCCATTGGCGACCAGTTGGAGTTGACTTTGGATGCGAGATCGAACTTCAGCACTAAGGATTACAAAACTAATGTGGGAAATGTTTTCGCTGCTGGAGGTACTATTATATATTTTTTTAATCCAAATTTTTGAAAGAGGAAGATTACATTTTTTTTCGTTTGAATATGAATATTTACGGTGATCTTTTTGATGACTAAACGCCTACCGTTGCATAATTGAGGTGGATTGAAATTAGGTAGGAGAATAATAGGGGAACCAATTTTTAATCGAAGAAGATATACCTGGCATTCCAGGTATATCTAGTGAATTTGAAAATTCAATTGGAAAATTTACACTTTCATTTTCATCAACAACAGTATCGATTGTTTTAAAAGACAACGATATGGGGTTTTCACTATCAAGTTTGTCATGAAATTTGACCCTCAGACACTGCCATCAGTTTTCATCTATCTAGTTTGAAAACAAGAACTTCCCTTTGAAAGTTTGGCCCACTCTATACACAAAAAAATGTTTGTTACTTTCATACTCCTTCAGTTATCTTGTCTTATCAGTTTCTTGTTTCAACTGGTACATATTTATATTATATTTTTCAATACTCTCATTTCAGATTGTAGAAGAGGCCAGTCTCTTGTAGTCTGGGCTATATCAGAAGGCCGACAAGCTGCCCGGGCCGTAGATGAATACCTTATGAAGGACAAATCCACCCTACCAGGTCCTGGCGGAATAATCCAACCGACAATTCAAATGCTTCCTTGTCCAGTATAAACAAATTCGAATAAATCGGTCCTTATTTATTTTGTGGTCCAGTAACCATTAAGTAGATGTTTTCTGTAGAGTTTTGTTAGATACCTAAGAAAAAATGTGAAAGATTGCCATCAGAGCTGTGCATGTTTATGGTATCAAAATATTACCCAGAGTTTATATGTGCACTCAAATATATTTGTTTGAAAAAATATATATTTATTTAAATCATCTGCTCTTCTGTCTTACAGTATTTCAAAACAGTTTTTGTGCAATAATAATGAGTGGTTGTTCAGCCTCCATGAGGATTTTTATTTTCTCCACCTACTAAAACCATCCACAGTAGACGGATGTATGATTTTTATTATTTGGTTCAACTCATCTCTAGGAAGATGAATAATTTTTTTCATGACAAATGCCAAGGTATATATGGAAAACCTCTCTGAACATTTAAGAAATCTGGCACTTTAGATGAGCTGAACTGAAAAAAAAAAGAAAATGCAGATCTTGACAATATTCATTAATATTTGTTCTCCATTTTGTTATTGAATTATGTAACATTATCAGTTTGTGTTGATTTGATTTCAGGATCTTGTACTTATTTACTCAGAAATTGAACACAGTATAGTTCATTATGTGTACTTAAATATTATAAGGCGCAGCTCTGGTCAAATATGTTGAAGCTTCTGAAGGAAGTAGTAGGAAAATTGTAATCGTAAAGAAATATATAGAGAGAAAATTTGAAAAAAATCAACACCCAAAAACAAAAAAGAACTTACCTTTTATCACTATCGTTAAGTTTCAGATATGTATAAATGTTGAATGTTCTCAAATGTTTTGAGAAAGAATGTTATTTTACATTTTTATTTGAAATGGTACAGTATAGCCTTAGTTGTAACAAGACAATAAAATTCTGGAAATGTGATGAAATAGAATTTCAAATAGTTTCAGAAGTTATATTATTTATGGTTTGTGGTGTTTAATATCAATGACAATACTATGAGATTTGCTATTAGATTGCGAACTATTTGGGTAGATATACTGAGTATTTTTAAAGACTTCTCTGTGTGATCATTTACCGACTGGGTCAAGTGAAAGGTCAAGTTTATTTGACTGGCTTATATATACCAAAAATTTCATAATTCTATTTCAAATTATAACATAGAAAATTGACAAGTAAAACATTATAATATTAACATATAAAAATATGAATATAAAATACTGAATGAAACACAAACAAATATAGAGTTCCATAAAAAGTTTATTCAGCTAGTGGGATTTGTTTTAATATCATTTCCACTCTAGATACTTTATCATTTTCTTTATCTTCACATAATTTTAGAAATGTCTTCATATTGCCGGCCTCGTTTGCCATATCAAACATGTCATAATCCTATAATTAAAAAAAAAATCAGTTAGTTTGCTGGTAAGAGGCATAAAAATTAGAAGTGTCACGAATTAAATAGGAGTTTTTTTAGGAAGTTTATTACTCTGAGGAACTGCACACCACTTTTGAGCCTCAGAATTCAAGATTATATCAGAAAATGGTTGAATTAGAGTGATAACCTTATTGTTTACTATTGACATCACAAGCAGTTAGTTCGAGGTTTGTTAAAAAAAATAAGGTGAATGTTTAAATTTTGCGGGCTCCGTACATTCGATTAGCGATTTTTTATGTTAGTACACTCGTCTCGAACATTGTTCACAATTTCAGCTGTTTAGCGTGTTTAGTTTGTTAGTAGAGGCATAAAAGTTCGACGTGTTTTGCGCGTTCGCCGATTTTCTGCTATCGAAAAAACTGTATCGAAGAATTTGCATCAGATTTTGTGTAAAAAATTCAAGTAAGTGATCAACAACACTTGAAATGTTGACAGTGTCATACGGTGATTGTATTCTGAGTCAGAAATATGTTTACAAGTGGTACACAGAAGGTGAAGAATGAATGGCCGCCTCAGCACATCAACAATCATTAAAAATATTGAGATAGTGAAGAAAATTGTTACGGAGAATCGTCGAATCACTATTAGAGAAGTTGCTGAGGATGTAGGCATATCGGTTGGCTCATGCCATGCAATTTTTTCGGAAATTTCAGGCATGAAGCGTGTGGCAGCGAAGTTCATTCCAAAATTGCTGAATTTTGCTAAAAAACTGTATCATAAGCACCGCTCAGGAATTGTTGAATGACGCAACGGTGATCCAAATTTGCTCAAAAGGGTCATAAATGGTGACGAATTATATGGTTATGAGACATTGGAAGAGCCCTGGGAAGCTTAGACCAAGAGTATTATCTTGAAGTTATGCGCCGGTTGCCAGAAGTAATACGAAGAAAATGTCCGGCATTGTGAAAGAACGTTTGCTGTATGATTTTCACTATAAAGGGTTTCACAAAAACCTCAACACGTCACAAGCGCTTGAGAAAGCTATTGTATGGCGAAACACGTGTTACGGTTTTCGTAAAACTCTTTATAGCGGAAGTCATACAATAAACTGTATTAATTAATTTTAATGGAAATTGATGAATAAATAAGTATTTTTTGAGAAAAACAAAAATTCACCTTATTTCTTCACCAGACAGCGTATAGCTGAACTAATATTTTATACCAGGAGTCTGTAAGTAGTTTTACGTGAGGTCCGGATACTGTAGGAAAATTTTAATGAGGTCCAGAAAAAAAACAACTGATAACTACTTATGTATTATTTTGGTTTCAAATAAAATTCTGAATTATAGAACACAAGACCTAAAATTAATGTGAGAAACTACACCGACGGCTTGAGCCAGTTTGGTTCTCGAGAGGAACAGCAAATTCGAAGTGGGTCTTCTATTGGGCGTCCGTTAATCTCGAACGATATTTATTTTTCAAGAAAAATTCATCTTTGAGAAAGATGTTTCACATACGTATGTCAAACCAAAGATAGTGGCCAAATTTAAAGCTAGTTTCTTGTAATTTTCATATTTTTCCGAGACATGTTTGGTCCAAAATTCTCATTTTCTCTCTTTGAAGTGATGGTTGTGACAGATTGAACAACTGAGTAGTCACATCTGTCCATTCTGCCGCTACATCGTTCCTAAGATCGGCCAGATTCTCAAAAACTGAACAATGTCTTCTTAAGAGTTCTTTTTATATTCAAGAATTGTCGGAAGATAAATAAATTTTTGTTTTGCAATATTGTTTTCAAAGATATCCAGCTTGCGACGAAAAGCAGACACTCTTTGTATCAGATTACATATTATTCATTGTAACTCTGTGTTGAACTCATTCAAATATTTCAAAATATATTTCAGCAAAGCCACAATCAGCATATTGAGCTTGTTTGTTATGAACTCAAAGTGCTTTCTGCGTATCTAAGATTTGCAAGAAGGAGGTTACTGGTTCTTTAATTAGCCAGGCTAGATGGGAAACTAATCAAACCATATCAGTTGTAGGTACTTGTAAAACAGGTTAGCTAGGAAACTCAAAATAAAATAAGTACCAAGTTAAATTATATGTGGCTTGAAAATATTTTTTTTAATTTAAGGTATTGTATGCCTCATCTATGTAATAATTTATACTTGGTGACCCGACGTTCGACCTTTCGCGATCCGCCTGTTGCTGACCGTTGTTTTATACAATTGATTCCTATTGCATTTTGCAATTGTCTAAATGGTTCGTTCTGACCATTCAACTGCTTTCAGATCCAGTCAAAATAATTTTCACAACTCAAATTTGCCTGATGAGAAACAAATCAGAGAAACAACAAAACAGAAACTGAGAATCCTTTGTGGTTTATTACTCAGCGAGTTTGGCATTGATATTATTCATGTCTTATATTTTGAATCAGCCCAGTTGAACTTTATGTGTTTCTGTGACTCCGTGACTCCCAAAAAATGTATCGGTTGCTTACAGAATCCCGACGAAGGGACTACGGGAGGAAAAGGCTGAACGGAAGCTGCAGAGAACGAATAGAGCTTTTGTTGATATTTTTTTTTGATTGCTAGAACAATGACGAAGGGACTACGGGAGGAAAAGGCTGAACGGAAGCTGCAGAGAACGAATAGAGCTTTTGTTGATATTTTTTTTTTGATTGCTAGAACACCATATTGCTCTGGGTTCAAGCAAGCACTTGTGTTTGTTCGATATCATGTTTGGCTACTACTGAGTTGTCTTTGCCGATATGACTGAAGGGGCAATGTCTTATCAGTTTGGATTCAAACCTGAAAAACCACCCCCTTTGGGTACCGCAAAAAACTGGAAAATCTACGACTTTTTAATAAAATTAAGTTTAATATTATAATTAATAAAATTAAGCAAGGTGATTTGCAATATTTAAATTCAACTAATATAATAAATTTTTGAAAATAATTATATGTTCACCAAAGAAAAAAGATAACGTTTTCAAAACTCACCCCACAGTATTCGCCGTCATTAAAAATTTGGGGAGGAAGCGGATGATTTGGATTAGGATCACTCATTGTACTTCCAAAAGAGGTTGAATTATTTTTCATAAATTCTCTCGCGCCTTCAGAGTTTTCTCCTGAGATGTCTACAACTTCATATTCAATATTTTTGGAGTCCAGAATTGACAGAACTCTTTGTTGGCGGGATTTCACCTCAAAAATGAAAAGAAGTTGGTATTACTGAAAACCTGTAATTATTGCATAGTTGATAAATATGTACTTTTCTTAAAATGTATTAAAGTTGTCATTAATAAAATTTATAACAATATTGATGTTAATCAAGAAGTACCTAGAAAAAGTTACTTTTAATGCACAAACACACTCGTCCTCGAAGGCACGCAGACACACACGAAAACGACTGTAAGAATCGTTGAAGATTACAAATGATTTGCTAAATGATTCAAAATATCAAAAGATTTTCGAAATATCTTCAAAACTCATTTAAAGACACTTAGACTATCAGTCTTACCATATACATTTATGTATTTTATGTAAACGTAATGTTTGTGTCCAACAGCTTCCAGTGGTTAGAACCTCTTTAATTTCAATGCGGTGAACTGTAATTGCTGAATCCAGTCTCTGCATCAAATTTTGGCGATTTTTTTTAATTTGCTGAATTATTACACAGCACAATGTGACAGTTGACAAATCGGATTTTGTCTACCTATAGTTATTTAGAATCGTTAGTGTGGTATAAACATGCTTCATTTAAATATAAATAAATGTTATCAAATAACATTTTCAAGAACTGTGAAATCTATTGTATATCCATACAAAATCAAAAACATTAATCTAATGTTGACCAACAGCGGTTGGGAGTATTGTTTGATAACAAAGTAACCTTAAAAGGTCATATCGATCACATTGTATCTATATCACTCAAATTATTGGGATTTGTTCAACGAATTACGGACAAATTTTCTATAAATGGGTAACTCAAAATATTGTATTGTTCTTTGGTAGGCTAGGTCTTGGAAAGTAATTGCGTAATATGGAGGTCCTCTATATCAGGCAGATATATCTAGGATTGAGAAAGTACAAAACAAATTTCTGAGATCATGTACATTCAAGCTCGGATATCAGAGGTCCGATTATGAGTCTATATCTACTTTGGAGCACTGCCGAGCTGCAATTGATTTAAGAAGTCTGCGATAGCATATATCTACCTCTTATGTGGTAGCCACTATATGGAAAATACTGAGCCATAAATACAATTAAATTGGATACTTTTTTACAATTAACATTTTAGAATATCTCTCAAATTCTTTTAAAAATTGATACAATTGTCTTTTTAAGTATTTAATATAGATAAACTTTGTCTTTTACACTAAGTAATTTGGAAGAATTGTTTAAAAGTTACCACTATAAGATTCACTTGACTCAACGCAGTAAGCCATTACGCGTCGCGTTTACTGTAAGACGATGGCGGACGATGCGCGGGAATACAGGGGCGGTCTAAGCAATGAAGCGCTATCGCCGAGAACACGACTCGAACGTGGGCAGACGTCATTGAAAGTTCTGTTAGTTTTGCGAATTTCTTTATAGGTAACATAATTAGATTCTTGAAGCTATCCATTAATTATTGCAGTTGTCATATTTTTTTAGTTGCTGTATTTTAACCTAGAGTCTTGAAATATGCAGGTAGGTTCTTTGTATAGCGTAAATAAGCATCAAGAAAAAGAATCAGGAATTTCCACCCCCAAGGGGGGAATATAGATTCAATTTCGTCAGTTTTGAGGTTGGAAACATGATGTTTTGGGTTAATAAAAAAATATTGTAACTATTTGTTTAAAATGGTCTGTCATGAAACTTAATGTGACAAACCAAATTCTACGCAGGCGAAGCCGCGGGCAACAATTAACTAGTAAAGTTATATATAAATGTCTGGTCTCCAAACATTCATTATTGAAGGAAAATGACGCAACGTGATACATGAAAAAGCATTGATATAAAATTTCTCTAAGGTACATGGAAATGTAGTCTCATTACTTCTCGAAGTTTCGAATTGAAAACACTTGTTTCCAATAACTCATCAACACCTATTTGAATTTCTGAAAACAATAAACACACGCATTTGTTTGATATTTAGCCCCCTGTCCAAGATTGAAGATACCTATGAAAGGATTGCGACGATTGAGGAAATAAAATCCAAATCGCTGAGGTCCAAAAGTGCATATCAAAACTGCTTCGAGAATTTGAAAAACGCTGGCACGAGTATCTGAGGGGTACTATTTTGGAGGGGACTGAATAGAAATTGATGAATAAACAAATATTTTTTGAGAAAAATTAAAATTCGCCTTATTTTTTAACAAACCTGCTATAAATGTTACTGGAGTTTTTTCCCTAACACCAAATCGTTATTTTCAACACCTCGACATGTGTTTCGATCACCAAGTGATCATCTTCAAGAGGAAGATTAACGATTTGGTGTTGGTAATATTCATTACTACACCAAACCTGGTGTATAAGTGTGCAAACCGCAGAAACGTATTTCCGGCTACCCTGCCTTTGTACGGTACAGCCAAGTGTAGAAGATATACACTTGGTTGCGAAAAATGATCAAAACAAACAGGCGGATTCATCATCAGGGGGACGATCAACTGTGTATTCGTGGCAGGTACGTATATAGTAGAATGGGGTTTAAACCACAGAAGACATGAAAATTTTATGTCGATAACTACATAAACGAATTTCAACAAAGAACCGACTGAAATAGTAGGTATAACGGAGGCCGAAACATTACAAATAGGTACGCTTACATGACTGCAATGAAGTGGACCTCAGAATCAACGGGAACAAAATCTTATAATCGGAAAGTTTTTTAAATATTCGGAAAAGTATAAGAATGAGACTTTAAATATTGTTGAAACAATTATTCTCAATATCTAGACATCAATCCGAAATAAAATTCCCTAGTAAAAAAATAAACTTTTACTATTCAAAAAAGGATTGCCTAACGGACTACCTACCTATACTTCAAATCCAAAATGTAATATTACTGAATTGGCTCACTAAACAAATTACTAACCTCATAATTTCCCGACACTCTGCTGATGAAAACTTTCACTACCATTTTTATTACTGGTCGGAAAGGGAAAGTTGAATTTTGAAAATGTTGTCACTCCAAAATCAATGAATAATGGCCCGCTCATGTAAATGTCTTATCATGAAGCTCAGAGAAAGATAAAACAATCAGCGAATTCGGCCTTGGATTATTAAGTGATGATTTCATCAAGTAAACATTATTTACCTTTATACAAGGTGGAAAAATTACTTGTTTTGAAACAAGTAAGCTGTAGTTCTCTCACGGTCATTTTTTTCAATGCATTAAAACGACGAATCAAGTGAAGGAATAGTTTTCCAGCGATTAAATACACCAGACTTATTTAAACGTTTGAAATGAATGTAAATGAATGGCATGTGTTTGTAGCATCATATCTCAAAATATTCTACTGTGCCGATGTTTTGCGTCTTTTCAGCTTATTTACTATATGATGTCGTTGAGCGATTTTCGGGCAATTTTTCTCTACGAAATCAAATTGAACCAAAGCGCTGCCGAAACAGACCAAGAAATTTGGCAATGATAGGTTAATGAACGCACTGTTTGGCGATGTTTTGCGAAATTCCGTTACGGAGATTTTAGTCTCAAAGACTAAACGAAGATGAGCCCCGAAGTTGTCGATCTACAGGAACGAGGATTTCAGGACCCTGGTGGACTCTCACAAAAGATGCGTGGGATGGCGGAAGAACTGGGCGTCAGCTCCCATGTGTATTTTGATGGTTTAAAACGTATTGGAAAGGTCATGGAGCTTGAAAAGTGGGTGCCCCACAGTTTGAATGATCTACATAAATTGTCACACGTTTTGAAGGCTGTTCATCTTTGCTTTTGCGCAATCAAAACGATCCTTTTTTGGATCGGATCCACACATGTGGTGGAAAGTGGATCTTCTACAACAGGAGACGTTCAGGACAGTGGTTGGAAACCGATGAGCCACCCAGAAATGTCCCAAAGACGAAAACCCACCAAAAAATACTATGGCTACTATATGATGATTTCCGATAATTGAAAATCGAATTAGTTCAGCACACTATTTTTTATAACTAAAGGTTTTATTCATACATCGCCTCTAATATTTAAAATATATTAACCCTATTTTTTAGACAATAAAATCTCTAAAGCATTCCTAATAAATAAATCAAATGAACTTCAAACGTTCAAGCCAGTCTCGATATACCTACACAGTAGGTTTAATGGACTGACGCCTATCAGAAAACAACTATTCCCCTGGCTAATACCACGAAGGGCGTTGAATTATACCCGACAGGCGTCAGTGCAGGAATCTTCACAGAAAATTTCCTGCATATGCAATTGGCAATACAACTGAAAGAGTCGACCTTCAATTCTGGAACGGGCACACTTGCAGACCGGTTTCGGGCTTATTAGCCACTCATCAGTGCAAGATAGTGACCACCATCGACTTAAAGTCAATGATATTCCACAATTGAAAATCAGCAGAATGTAATCGTGATTTCATCCAGGTTTGGAGACCAGCTCCCCTACCCTTTTGGCTGATTGTTGGTCTTGAGAGGGACCAATGGGTTCATGACTGAATTAGTGACGGCATGAAGTCCTTAGACATCAGTGCCGCCCTTCACGGGATACCCCTACCTGGCTGGGGTGGGATGGATGAAAAAGTTATTCATCCGTTAACGGGGGACATGAGGGCCTCATTCGACAGAGTGTCGGGGCCTTCTATATCGGGAGGGGTCGTCTACAGCATAATCTGTGGCTTCCCTAACTAACTAACAATTGAAATTCAGAATTCTTTCAGAGTATTTCATTCCTCTTCCGAAGTTGGAGCGAACATCACAAAGTGTCACTCCATCTAGTGGACGAGGTATTAACCAACTGCACATCCGTAATTTGCCCGATTCCTCTGCATAAGAAAGAAAAACTTTTTTATTAGTCAGTGGGCTATGCTTGAAGACTGACAATAAACAAATAAAGCAAATGAACTTCAAACGTTCAAGCCAGTTTCGATATACCTACACAGTAGGTTTAACAACTGAAAGAGTTGTATTGCCAATTGCATATGCAGGAAATTTTCTGTGAAGATTCCTGCACTGACGCCTGTCAGGTATAAGTCAACGCCCTTCGTGGTATTAGCCAGGGGAATAGTTGTTTTCTGATAGGCGTCAGTCCATTAAACCTACTGTGTAGGTATATCGAGACTGGCTTGAACGTTAGAAGTTCATTTGCTTTATTTGTTTATTGCCAGTCTTCAAGCATAGCCCACTGACTAATAAGAAACATTCCTAATAAATGCAGTTTTTTTTTGGTAGACATTTGCAGGCCCGAAGAATACATTTATCAAATATAGCATACTGCTACTACTAATCAGCGCAGCCCATTGTGGGAAGCGACCGTGTCTCGAAGCTAAGTACTTAGGTCAAATGATGAATGGAGTGCGAGTACTGAGGTCGATGAGGATAAAAATTGATTCTCAAAGACCGGAACTATGGACCTCAGATAAAATGGAAATGGTCAAAATAAAGGTTATGATTTTTGATTAATTCGCAACTGATTCAAGACTGGAGCTGGATCTAATGAATCGCAATTATTAAGGAAAGGGCAGTTTGGCTCTCCTCCTCTGAGTTGAAAATGATACAGACTGGATTGAGAAAATTCTGGAGAAACACTACGTGAAACCAATATTCAAGCCAACGCAAACTATCAGAGTCTGAGATCAACTAAGGATTCCAGAGAGATTCAAGCAGCATCAGTGGCGTACCAGGAGCCATGTAGCTGTGGATCCGTTTACATTAGAACCACGAACCCAGCTATCCATGACGCCAGAAGACAACTGAACGAAACAGACATACAAATGCTTAGAATACACATGAATTCAAGCAACATAATTCACCCGTTGATATAGGATGAGATTGACACACTAGAGGAATTCCGAGCGGAAAATTATTTCGAGATCACAACTGAGAAACAGAAGGACAAGTTCAACCGTCTCAGTCTGACACAAACAAGAAAAAGTAACATACCAAGGATTGAGCCCACCAGAGTGATTTACAACTATTCGAGCCATCACCTAGATGAGGCATCCACTGAGGCGCTAGCTGAAGGTTTCAACTTCGCTGTCGCACCAGGCCTCATTCCGGTTGAAAATATAATTAGCAATGTAGAATCAGCACTGAATAGAATAAGCGACAAGAAAACGCAACATTCAATTAGACAGGACATCGCACAAGAACTCAAAAACGCAAAACCGCCGACCAGAAATATACCTCATAATGAATACCAAGCACTGAAAAATCTTCGAGAGAATGAGGATATCATCATCCTACCAGTGAACAAAGGCAACAGTAATGTTAAACACCAAAAACTATGAATCCAAAATGATGAAACTACTAGAGGATCCAGCCTACAAAAAAAAATAGTTAGAGATCCAACTACCTACCTATCTAGAGAAAACCACAAAATCTGCCATCAATAATTCTATTATCGATGACATCAAAAGACATCTGATTCCAAGAGAGAAATCATCCAAGTGCCCTAAACTTTATGGACTCCCCAGAGTTCATAGGGGCACCTCTTAGACCAATCGTAAGCTCGGTAGGTTCACCAGTGCGTCAATTAGCGAAACACATTGCTCATGCACTTCAACCACATGCAAAAAAGGTTGATTTAAATGTGCGCAACGCCGACCATCTCATAGACATATTGAAAACACAAATCGTTAGTCCGGACGAATCCTTGTCAGCTTTGATGTAACCACTTTATTCACCCTGGTAACCACCGGAGAGTCACTAGAAATAATCAAAAAGAAATACAAATCGGAATAACATATCACCTTGGCAGAACGACTAACGATACAGACACATTTAAGGTGAAGGGGCCCCAATCCAATGGACTCGCCACTATCAGCCATTGTTGCCAATCTCTTTATGGAAGAAATCAAAACCAAAGCTATAGCAACGGCACAATTGAAACCTAAACTCTGGCTGAGATATGTCGATGATATTTTCGTGATTTGGTCACATGTACACCAGGAACTTTCAATCACTTGAATAAAATCCATCCACGGATCAAATTCACGAAAGAAGTTAACCAGCTCGCATTTCTCGATGGTTTTTTTATTGATTGATTCGACCGTTACTTGAAGATCTATAATTATTTCAAAAACTACACCTCACGATTTGATTTGAAATCACCTGATGAAGCTACTGTGCTGGCGAAACGTGATATATTTTTCGAATAAAGTTTGTGGAGATCAAATCGTGAGGTGTAGTTTTTGAAATTACTCGATGTGTTGATTATGAAAAAGCCGGACACTACACTAGGCTACATGGCATATTCAAAACCAACAAACACGAATAGGTACCTAAACGCAAATTCTCACTACCACTCAAAACAAATCCACTCAGTGACAAAACAATGATTACACATTCGAGGAGGCTGGCTAGACATCGCATGGTAGTTGTGTACTCTTTGGCTGCATCGTCCAAAGCCTACTTGATCAAAGTGTGCGTTTCAAAGTATCTATATCTCAAAGATGACTCCAGCATTTTTGCTACATGCTACATTTTTGGAAAGATAATTTTGAGTTCTATTGAAATATGCAGGAATACCTATACAGCGCGTCTCATTGAAAAAAATAGTTTTTCATCAATAACTATTATCTAATTTAAAAGATTAACGTTTTTTACACAATTGAAATTTACGTAAAAAAGTGCTTTAGAAATGTTTTCATGGAAACAAGAAATGTTTGACAGGACAAAGGTTACAGCAACTTTTCAAAAATGCACATTTTCGAAAAACATGCTGTAACTCAGAAACGATGATAGATATCGATATGCGGTTTTCACCCCTTAAGTTTGTCATAAAACTTGCCCCTCAGACACAGCCATCAGTTTTCATCTATCTAGATTGAAAATAGGAATTAACCTTTAAAAGTGTTCAATTTAGCCTACCCTGTTTAAACTGTGTAATTGCTTGACTTTTTGATAAAACATTGTTGATAAACCAAACTGGTTCACATTGAACAAACAAACTAAATTTTCGAGAATTAATAAGCCTGAAATTATCTATGTGTAGGTACTTCCACCTTAGTAAAATCAATTTTCATTGTAGCTGTGTTTGGTCCCTACTATTTGAATTTCACTACAACTTTCAACTGAAAGAATATCTGAAAGCGAATCATCAAGTCATCTAAAATCACTATACCGAAACTCATTACTACAAGAATTCAAGCAGTTATTATATTCCTCCATAAATAGTTTAATTCCAAAATGAATTGCACTGATTTTTTCTGTACCTTTTAGGAAATGGAACTTTCAAATGTTTGCAATTGATTACCGTAGCTGTAATTATGTAAAAGATTCTCCATTATCTGGGTTCCTTCCGAATGGCAGTAATGTTGATTTTGATCTACGGGGTCTGTTCAAAAAATCAAGTGAATGTTCAAATTTCGCGGGAATGGGAGTGAAAGGAATGGATCAAATAATTTGCATAAAATTTTGTGAGAAAAATAGATGTACACCTGATATGTTGACAATGGCATAACGTGATTGTACTCTGAGTCAGAAAAATGTTCACAAGTGGTACAAACTTTTCACAGAAGGTCGAAAAGATGTGAATGCCAGCGCTCGCCCTGGTAAAAATGTTAAGAAAGTAAAGAAAATTATTATGGAAAATCGCCGAATCACTTTTAGAGAAGTTGCTGAGGATGTCGACATATCGGTTGGCTCATGCCATGCAATTCTAATGGAAATTTTTGGGTATGAAGCGTGTGGCAGAGAAGTTCGTTCCAAAATTGCTGAATGTTGACTAAAAAAACCGTCGCTTGATCATCGCACACGAATTGTTCAATGACGTCAACGGTGATCCAAACTTGCTTAAAAGAGTCATAACTGGTGACAAATCATGGGTATATGGTTATAACATCGAAACCAAAGTCCAATCGTCCCAATAGAAGAGCCAAGACCAAAAAAGCATGCAAAGTTCGATAAGATGTCAAGGTTTTGCTCAGTTTTCTTCGATTACTGTGGCGTAGTGCATCAGGAGTTCTTGCCACATGCTCCTACAATCAATAAGGAATATTATCTTAAAGTTATATGCCGGGTTGAGATATATGACAAATTTTTCATCATGTTATTTGCTTAGTAGTAGTGTTTAGTGTTTCTAAAATTTATAGAAAGTGTTTATAAATATATACAAGTTTTATGGAAAATTTGTGATCATTCTCTTGAAGAATATACTGATTGAAAAAAAAAACACAGTTTATTCAAACAATAATAATTTTATTGGGATAACCATTTTTTTTCCATAAACTATAAACAAAAGGGCCAATTTACGGATTTACTTTATACCTCCCGTTTTCTAAAGGTGGTATACCTATAACTGCATTTTATCCAAGTCATTCATGACATCTTCAGATTTCTTCTGGGTGTCCACTAAATCTTTGGGGTTTGAGGAGGGTAACTTTGTTTTAGTGATTTCCGGATTATCTTTTTTAGCTTTATTTGTGTTCCTCACAGTATTCTGCATTAGCTGAAGAGCTTTGTCAATCTCAGCTACTTTACTTTTGTTCTTAATATTAATCTGAAAATCATCAAATAATTTGAATTGGTATAAAAACAGGATTATAATATTGTTTATAACAAAATAACATGTTCTCGAAATACTAATACTGTAAAAATAAAACTTTTCCATATCTATTTCTGATTTATTTTTCTAATTCATGAAGTTGATTATTTAAAATAAGGGATTTAACTGAATCTACCCTTGAAAAAAATGACAGTCATTGTAGTCTTTTATTTTCAGATGAATTAATGAGCAGCAAGCCGTGATAATTATTGAGGATTTAACCGATTGCAAGTTCTAGCCGAAGCTGATATATTGTTCCCTGCAAATATACTCTAGTAGTCGCAAGCAAGAACAATCCACAAGAAAAGTTACTAAAATTTCTTGGAACTCAAAAACTATGTTGGAGGCACATCTGAACAGTTTGAGTAAGAAGCTCAATTCAGATGTATGAGTCAAACAATTTTTGACACATTAACTCTATCAACTTCTGAACGAGCGAGATATCAAAGTGGGGCAAAACTTGTATGGATAGGAATCATTTCAAGGCCGGCCTTAATTTTCATGAGGCAGAAAGGGTGTACATTGAAAGATTTTCTGATGATCCTATCTGCCAAATGTATTACTAGGAAATACTAATCGAGGATTTGGCTAGCTATACTAATTTCTGATTACATTACTGAGTTTGGCACCTAAGTGATTGAACACTTGTATTGTGCAACTCTATTATATATGCGGATTTCAAATAAGTCTTGTAACAAAATGGCTTAGGAATAATATTAAAACATAATGAAAACTTCATAAGCGTATGTCAGCAAAGAAGTGTAAATCAGAGAAGATTTCAAATAACTGGAAGTGTAGCTAGTGCTAGGAGAGCCGGAAGATAATCTATCTCGAATGAGAAATAAATCGTTGCATCTATAATAAATAACCCACTAAAGTCATAACAGTTGTTCCAAAGAAATATGTCTCAACAACCACCAACAAGAAATATCTTAGAAGACTTAGGTTTCACCCCTATAACTTGAATTGAATGATAATGACCCACACAGAAGAATACTGTTTTGTGAGTTAATATTCGAACGTTTGATTGCAATCAGATTCCTACTTGTTTGAAGCCTAAGGTGAAATCTGACTGGTGATACATATTTGGAAATGATACATATCATAAATGCTGAAATGCGTTTAAAAACAGACTGTTCAACTGTTAAGGGGTTCAAAGAGAATGTTTTGAATATTTGCTTAAATTATTTTTTATGTATAATATAATAACGGGTCTAAAAGAAAAAGATATTGTTTCATGACTTGAGATTAACATTTATGAATTACAAAAGATGTTATTGATTCATTTAAAAAAATTGACATCTGGTGACAGTTATGAAATTCCTAGTTCCAAATTCAAACAATAACTCCGCAACCGGTTATCAAAATTTAAAAAAGTGAAGATCATTGTATATAGAATTGAAATATCTTTCATTTGAAATGTCACATGATTCCTGTAATGTATGTGGCTGCTACGCCACTGATATAGGGCCAAGGGTGCATGATCAAGGACAAGAGAAGCCTATATCATACGTTTCTCGCACTTACATGTCAGCAGAAAGGAAATACTCAGTCAGGATATGTCAGGAAGCTTATGTTGAAGAAGTTCGAACATTACATCTGAGGAAAAAAAGTGACAATTCGAACAGACCAGAAACCATTAGTAGCTCTGTTTGGAGAAAATAAAGGAATACCAGGGCGAAGTAAGGACCGTGGCGTCATTTTATTATAAGATCGAACATATCAAAGGAAAACAGAACGTAATGCCAGATTGCTTGTCAAGATTACCCCGAAGGGTGGAGGTAACATCGGACAAGTATAGCTATAATGGCCATCTGAACTTTGCCGCAACTACGAAGAATGGCCATTAGACAATGATACAGTGGCGGAGTATACGGAAAAACATGAAGAACTCCAGACCATTTTGGGATATTTGAAGGACAGTTAGCCTCGGAAGGTAGAAGAAGGGCTCCAACCATATGAAATAAGGAAACAGGAACTCGAGGAAGACAGTAGATGTTTGTTAGGGGGACATCAAGTCATCATTCCAAGAAGGTTACGAAGATGGATGTTAGAAGAGCTTCACGAAGGACATCTGGGCATTGTGAAAACTAAGAGTTTAGCAAGATCGTACCTATGGTGGCCAAATTTGGATTTGGACATTGATGAAAAGGTGAGAACCTAGTACATGCAAGTAATGCACCAAGAGCAGAGTTGTCGCCATGGTCGATTACAACAGGACCCTGGGAAAGAATACACATGGACTTCTGGGGACCAATGAGGCAAATGAATTTTCTCGTTATAACAGATGCTTATACCAGATGGCCAGAAATATTTCAAATGCCAACTACAACGAGTATAGAAGTGGAACGAAGATTGAGGGAGGTCTTCGCAAGATTCGGAATACCGAAAACTGTCGTCTCAGACAACGGAAGATAGTGTGTGTCACAACAATTGAAGATATTCTTTCAACGAAATAGAGTTAGACATATAACGTTACCACCATTCCACCCATAAAATAATGGAGCGGCAGAAAAACAGTAAAAACGTTCAAAGCTAAATTAAAATGTCTGCTGAACGAGCCGAGAAATAGAGATAGTCCTAGAGAGGTACTGATTTCTCGATTTTTGATAACTTATCGCAATGCAGAACATTGTACTACCCGGAAGTCACCAGCTGAAATGATGTTTGGACGTAAGGTTAGAACTAGGATAAGCCAGGTCGCAAACATCACATCATCTGTGCAGGAGGAGATACAGGAAACCTTGAGGAAGGCGCAGGAAAGACAGATTATGTCAAGGGGAGGACACAAAAGAGAGTTAACCCCTGGAGAAGAAGTTTGGGTGAGGGACTATCGAAGCACAAGCTCGAGAACCTGGAAAGCAGCTCGAATAGAAACAAAGATAGGCAGAAGACTGTACTTGTGCAAAACACTTGATATAATTATTGAGTAGCAAAATTATATAACAAAGTACCCAACCCCGTCTGGCTGAAAAAAATCCTCATAGAAACCTGTTATTATTCAACAGAAAATTTCTTTAATGACCCATGACTACTATATTACATACATTTTTTCTAGGTATTTATGGTTAATTAAGTTTAAAATACTTTCTTCAGCTATAATTTACAATGAATTATTCCATATAAAAACATACAAGCATTTGTACTCATATCTATAACCAATAATAGGTTAACATCTACAAATAGAAAACTTATCAAAGTCACCCCCTTAGATATATTTAAATAAAAATTGAAAACTCACAATGCTCTGCCTATTAATAAGACAATTCTCAATTTTGATTTCCTTGTGTATTAACCATAAAAAACTGTAATTGTATTTTTAAAATTTGTAAATTTAAATAATTTATTATATTATTTTGAAACCTAATATTATAATTTTATTCATAAGTATTATTTGATGATTATTTAGATTGATAATTAGTCAATGACTAGTCAAAACACTATTTCATGTAATATTGACAAATAAAATATATAAACACATACATATGAATGTGATTTTTTGTACATATTTATTTTTACAAATAACTTGAATAGTTTCATTCAAGTATATATGTTAATGTGTTTTATGTAATTATGCAAATAATGATGTAATATCTAATTTACACTTAATTAACTGTTATTACAGATATGATTATTCATGTGTCATGGTGAAAAAGTTGATATTTTTTATGACTAAAGAAAGTAAATAATTTTTCTGAACAACCAGAAACACTTTATAGTAGAATTAACTAATATTTTGACAAAACCACTCACTTGTTTCAGTTCAGATTTAACAGTTTTGGCTTTTGCTTTAAGTTTCAAACTCTTGGCTCCAGCCACTTTGAATACCTTATCAACTTTTTTGTGGTTTTTTCCCATCTGAAAAAAACAAAGATAATCAATTTATGACCTCTAAGAAATATTCAATAGAAAATAAAGCAAATTGAATCACTATCAACAAGCAATAAATTTATGGAATTTCAAGACATATGGAGAACAAAAATATCTTGTTGATATTGATGCAATATGTTTATACAACTGTTTCGTGCCTAAATCGAGACATACCAGAAATGCTTGATTTTTTATTCTGTGAATGGAAACTGTCTTCAAACTTCCTTTTTTTACACATCCCCACTAAAATGTCACGATCAAGTTTAACAGTAACTCTCATCATTTCCTTCATAGAGCTCACGGTCCTCACTCTGAATATATCAGATATTTTATCAGAAACATCATGTCCAAAGTTATCCATAACAAGATTTTTTGCTATATCAATGTGGTTCTCGCCTTTGGCAAAACAATAAACAAAAATGGTAATGGGGTCAGATATAAATGGAAGTTCATCCTCATTAAATAGTCCTACAAAACTATCTAGAAACTCTACAGCCATGGCAGGTAGATTCATTGTAATGAATACTTTCTGTTTTTTTATTAGGTGTTGTGACAAATTTTGTCTGATGTTGTTTTTTATGAAGTCTCTGCCATCTATGTTGAAAGATTTGAAATAATTTTCTCCAACTTTATTAGACTTTGCATTATGTTTCAGCCAATTGAAAGAGTCTGGATTTAAGTCATTTGCATAAACAAAACACTTTTTTTTAGCGGCAGGTATAGAAAAAGGACCAACACCAGCAAAAACATCAAATAGCACATCATTTTCTTTCAAGAGTTTCACTATTCTTTCATGTTCTGTGCACAATCTGGAATTCCAATAAACTTTAGAGAAATCAAATTTGAATGTGCAGTTATTTTCTTTCACTGTGGTCATCATATCGTTGTCTCCTTTAAGTAATTCCATGCTAAAGTAACGATAGGTATTGTCTATCATGTTTACTTTATTCACCACAGATTTACAACCTGGTATTTTATCGTAGAGAATTTCTCCAATAATTTCTTTATAGGGCAATAGATGTTCTCTTAGATTTACATGTACGATATGACCAATTTTTGTAAAGCTTGACATACCTAAAATGAAAATTTTAGTTTTGTACTTATAAGAGCATAATCAAAACTGTGTAGTTGTTCAATCTCTAACCTGGTACAAATGTAATAAGAGAGCACTAAATTTATCGAAAGGCAATAAAACATATGACTCACTGAATTGACAATTTTGTACAAACCACAATCTAACGAAAGGCTCATAACCAATTGTTGAAGTCTACACGAAAATCAAACAAACCCAAGGGTTCAAAATTTAAGAGATTCAATTCCTATACCACTGGGCCTAATTCGTTTCAATAAGATTGAGAATATTTGAGGTATTAGATATTGTCGGTCCTAAAGCAATTACTGAAGATAACAGTTCACTGAAGCTACTTTAAAAAATAAAAAACGATCAAATGAACTTGTGATTTCAAAGATTTATAGTAAGCCAATACTCATTACTGAAAATTTAAAGCTATGCAAAAATAATACTATTCCTAACCACAATTTCTGCAATAATTTTAAATCATGTTCTGGTGAAATGGTTTTTTTTGTTTAGGTTTCAACAATTTTCTGACTAAAATTTGCAAAATTTTTAGTAAGCAAGGTAGGCCTTGATTATAAGCAGATTTTTGGAAACTTGTACAAACCTCAAACCTTACTTTTTTAATACGGAAAGTTGGCTTATTCGTGGTTGTACTTAAGGACCGACAATACATTTCCATCAAGTTGGGTTGACTCAATCAACCAATGTTATTACGGAGCAATGTTAGTGGAGGCAGCATTGCAAAGGTTGGCTTCCAAGTAATATAAACCATACAATTGGTTTGTGAATTGTGTATTCATTAATTTTGCCTACAAATAAAACAACTTAGGTTTCTAGAAATAAAAATAATTCCGTCCAAATTCCAATTTTAAGAAATCCAAGTTTATAAAAAAAGATCCAATCATTAATTCATTCATAAACAAAATTTATAAAAAGTACGGCAAGTTACTAACTAATTAGACTATACAAAACTTCGTTGAAAAAATAATTTGCCCTTGTTTGATGGGAAAGCTTTGCATTTGCGGGCCAGAGGTTCCATTACCCTGCGATAAACCATCAGACTGAAAGAATGATCATGAAAATAAAACAAAAATCTCTTTTATACCATGCATGAATAGAGACCGAGATTTTATATTTGTTTATAGGTGTAAAGAAATTTGTATTGAAACTATGGAGAAACCTGATTTTACCGCCGACCAGTCTATTTCGTAGATAATCTACACGATAACAGTGGTTTTGAATTACCTACCTTCTCTTTCACTTGGTAAAATAGCTTTCAATAATTCCTCTGCGGTATAATTTTCATACTTGACTGTCAAGTTCTTTCTTAATAAATTATTCTCAGTTATTGCCATCTTTTCTAAAAGATTTTGAACTTCAGTTGGGAAGCTCGTCCAGTCTGATACAACATTTGGATTCAAATATATTTCTATTTCATCACTTGACATATGCTGAACAGGTTTAAGTTTCTCTAGCTTCAATAAATATTTCTTCATAATGGGTAAGATGGTTTGCAACTGGGATAATTTGATAGATAAATAACTGATCTGCGATTCCATTTCAAACAACTTTTTATCCAAATGCATCAAACCACTAACAGAACTAGGAGGTCTCATTTTAGAAAAAAATATGTTCGCAGTGGAGATATAGCGATTTCCTTTTGAAAATATTTTGAAATACCGAAGGTAAGTAGAAAACAGTTTCTCAGAACATTTCATGTGAATTAAAAAATTATTAAAACACATTACATTTTAAGGTTACCTTATCTTGAAATTTGAACTCAAAATACTTCTCTTTCTTCTCCTTCTTTTCTGGGTTTCTCGCTGTGTCTAGGGTCGGTGACATATAACATGTATTATGCGACACCTGTTCCATAAGTTTGGAGCTTCGTGTAGTGGGTACACTAGCCACTGGCCTCGCTCTTAGCAATACTGCACCCAATAGTATTATGCACTATTTGACCTTATGTATGTTTCTTTTTCGTATCGTGCATATATGTATGACATACTAGAGATCCTGTGTTGACGTGCTAAAAGGGATTAGTTCCAACGAAAAGTATAGTAGAGGTAAGGATGAGATTATAATACATAGATGGATGCTATATTTTTGATATTTATCTTCATAAGTTAATCTAATTGAGGTCTTAAAATCTTACGATTCTTATTCTTTTTGATATTGCCACTCCTTCAGAGATCACTGATATATTCCTCTTCTTCTGTTGCCTGGGTGATAAGATGAACATTTTCAGGCGTGTCTATACTATCAGACTAGAATAACAAACAAGAATGTAACTGTTTTATGTCTTATTATGTTTTAAATATATATTTATTATGTCTTTATATTACAGTACCAGCTTCCGCTGGTTTTTATCAGCTACTTTATATTATATAATTTACTTCATAATCTTTTAATATATATTCTTATAGCTTTCGTCTGATTTTCACTACGATTTTTATTTGTTACGACCGGTTTCTGTTTGTTAAACCATTCTCAAGTAAACATGAAAAAAGCTATTTCCTTTATTCTATATTCAATATAGATCAATATCTAGGTCATCAATTAAACAACAAAGGTACAAGTTTAGGAAAAGTATCAAGGTTGGACAAAATTTACATTAGAAAGTTACCATTTTTGGTACTTTTTGATAAGAAAGACAATAGTATTGCATCACTCGTCGACAAGAGGACCGCTACAAATTTTTTATTTTTTTTTCATATGTATAGGCTTGTTTGATAGATATTTCAATAATATATCCAACATTTTTCTATCTCTGAAAATCGGATCAGCTGATCTTAAGAAATTAGCAGTTTCATATCTGTTTTAAAGATCTTCAAACAATGGTGTTTCATTATTTTCAGGACTAATAGTAAAATAATATAAGTTTATGTAAGTTTGAGCAATTACATTTCAAATTCACTTTCAACTATTTTCGTGTGATTTTCTTTGGATTCGAAGAATCTTTATTAATGCTGTGTAAGAGATTGGTACTGTCGAACAATATTGCAGAACTCATTCCTCCGGCAAAAAGGCTGACTCTAACTCGCATTCAATATGTGTTGTTTAACATAAACAGAACATAAAACAAGTTTTGAGATGTGATTTTTTATCATTGGGAGAAAATGACAGCTGACAGCAATTAAGAAACTACTCGCATGTAAATGTGAATATTTGAATAAACATGAACGAGACTTGATCGGATACTATTAGGCAAAGGCTAAAAAAGAAAAGCATGAAATTGAACTAAGAAATAGAAGAAGAATGTCATATGTCATTTCTCTTTGACATGTTTTGTTCTGTCGGTCCGTCCAAAAGATGAATAAAAAACAAGCTTCAAGTTGTATACTTATTTTTAGCCAAATGTCTCGCCCCTTAAAATAAATTGGATTGGAATGTTATGACATGCTAAATCCACAATGACTACCAGAAATCCTTCAACATTGATGTCGATACCAAATGAAGAATCCTTTGATTTTTTGTTTAAAATAGTTTTAATTGGTGATTGTGGAACTGGCAAAACATGTGTTGTTCAACGTTTCAAGAACGGCACATTCATAGAAAGGCATGCGAATACGATAGGCGTCGATTTTTCTATGAAGACTGTAGTTGTTGACAATAAGAAAGTTAAAGTAAGATTATTAAATTTGAATATGTAAGAAGTATTTTCATCAAATGTATTTTTTTGAAGCTGCAAATTTGGGATACTGCCGGCCAAGAGAGATTCAGAACAATAACTCAAAGTTACTATAGATCTGCTAATGGTGTTATTATAGTATATGACATCACCAAAAGATCTTCATTCCTTTCGGTGTCAAGATGGGTTGAGGAAGTCAGGAGATACTCAGGAAATGCAGTGTTATTGGCCCTAGTTGGAAATAAAGCTGATTTGGAAACACTGCGTGAGGTGGAATTTGAGGAGGCTGAAGCCATGTGTCAATATTTGCCTGAGGTACTCTTTGTGTTGGAAGCATTTAGATTGAATGGGGTCCAAATATTCCAGTATTTTGGTTATGAGCTTGGCAGTATTCCAATAACACATCCTGTTGATAACCTCAACATATTTTACTTTTCAATATTTTTATCTAGCTTTCCAATTATTTTTATACGTATATTTTGCTATTAATATAGCTTGAAAGACCAATTTCATGTTTAATATTTCAATTTCAGAGAAGACATGACAGCGGACTATTAGGTCAAGATGATGAGGATGATACTGTTAGGCTTGGTGAAAGTCGGACTATTTCGAAATGTTCTAGTTGTACAAAAGGTTTTTTGTAGATTTAGTGTGAATAAGTAAGGTGCCTTAAATCTGACTGATCACAATGGTTTACCGTTATACAAAAGAAATATATAAAACAATGCCCCAGTGGCTGGCTAATCCTAGTACATGGTTCGGGTATTTTTAAAACAGATTCATGAACCTGGTTTAGGTCGTGTAATTGTAACTTTTGAGATGTAATAATTGACCAACTCTCATTATTACTAAAAACTTATGACATGCATGAATATTCCTATTGAAAATGAATAATGCAACCTCTTGCAACTTGTTACTTACTATTTGTGATTTACCATTTCTGATTGGAGCATGAATCTATCTTTAGATTCACTTCCCACAAATACTTGCCATTGAAATGTTTTGAACTGTAGAGTAGGGAGTAACAATTATACTAAATTGAAAATTCTTTTATCGCGAAATTTAAATTCAATAGGTTTTCAACTGGTAGAAATTGAACAAAATACATTTGAAGTAAATGCTGTTTCATTATCATAGTGAATCACAGTATATAAAATACTGAAAATTTCAAATTTCATGAAATGCAAAAAAATAACCAAAATGCTTTCCTGTAGTTTATTGGAGAAACACTTTATTGTGAGATTTTCCCTGGACAGTTCACAAAACCGCAACATGTGTTTCGCTATACAATAGCTTCCTCACGCATTTTCATTCTGAATAAAAATACGTAATTTGTGCATTAAATGACAACAATTTTAATCATGTGACTTTCTACCTAGGTAATAATTAATAATGAAACATTTTGTCAACCCATCAAATGGATATATACCTACAATTTGTGCTTTACATAATAATTTGAATCATATGACTTTTTATCTACTTGACTGATGATTTTACATGAGGTTGTGTAAAAACTAATTTAAAATGTAAACATAAAAAATCACAAACCCATTAAATGAACATTCAATAAATTAACTACCAATTTCCACAGAAGAGGAGAATTTGAAAGACTAATTGCGAATAATATGACTATTTATCTAGTATTCAAATAAACTATTCAGATCTGAATTTTCATTCATAAATTAGTCAACCCTCAACTAACGATGTATGTCAATATGTATTGAATGAGCCACCAATAGATAAAAGTTCGTAGAGAAATCATTGAAATATTTTTTGTACACATAAAGTGATGAGTTTGAATACTGTATGGAGGAAAGATTGATTAAAAGTGTTTTTCAGTAATATCGGTCAACCTCCATTCATACAGTAACCTTATTTTTAATAGGACAGCAAAATGCTTGAATTTGAATTCATCAATTTATTGTAGGGAAAATTTAAGAAAACCTCTTCTGAAATTTACCAGAATTGCAAAAAAATTAGGCATACATTTGGCCAACTGATTTCGAGTTTTTTTGCAGCTCTCCAATTACGTTATTTTTGTTGAAAATAAATCACTTGTTCATCTAGCAATAATTTATATTACATCTCCATTAATAAGAACAATTGTATTTTTATCATGACATAATGCTCTCTAATATATAAATAAACTATGTACATTTGAGCAAATTTGTTTTATTTGTCCCAACAAAAATCAATCATTGACTTAGTTTTGATCACACCCGTTTTAATTAAGTATCACTCTATTTTATCGATTGACTATATGTAAGCGCACTATGCTGCATCACCTACATATTCGTTACAGATGGATTGTAGGTAACTTTCGAGTGTTTAAGTTCATCATCTGTTGGTTCCATGTCCTGTATTTCATTTTCCGCCATATCACTGAAAAAAAAGATAGATGAATCAGTCTACATCGCAAATTGAATATCTCGGAGATACAAAAAAATTCATTGTCACGAAATTTAAAATGAAAACTAGGTGATATTCAACTTGACATGATTTAAAAAAAATAATGGGCATCCATAAAGATGCTTATTGGAGTTAATTCAAATACTATTCCTTGAATTCTTTTATTTGCTGTATACAAACATAATAACGTAATTACATGTATACAGTAGCATCAAGACGATACATTACGTTCTACACACAAGGCTTATATAAACGTAATCATAGATCCAAAACAAGCACTGATCCGAAACACCAGAACTACAATATTATTCTTGATTAATTCTTAAATCTAATCTATTTAGTGTAGTAAGAGTTGATTTAGTGTAGTTCATCTCTTGATTACGCCAACTTGGTTGGTGAAACTTGCGTCGAGAAGAGTGTTGAAGTTCGGGTGTTTGGAAGCAGTTTTTTTTCAGATATGATCTATGCTAGAGGTTTCACTTTTACCTTTCAATAATCACAGAAGGTATGATGAAATAACTATGAACGATACACGACATAAAAGTTATCAAGAACTTGTACACGTAGTCAAACAGTAAAACCTACGGTGTTGGTACATGAAATATTTCTTCCTTACTTGGGACTTTGATCACGAGATGGGGCTGTTACTAGTTAACAATATTTCTCTTAGACAAAGGTTTCATACTTGCAGTCGAGCTGCGTTGAAATTAATCGAGTCCCAGGCACTTTTCTGTTCGGGTCGGATCTTTCCTGCACTGATGAGAGGTAATACTTCGAAACAGGTTTGTAGCGTATCTACTTGAATAATTTCAGCATTGTCCTACTGCTGGATGAACGAGAAATATCCCCGAAACTAACCTCTGTGAGGTATCTTGCATACATGTCTGGCGGATATAATTCAATATCCAGCGTGATATTAGCTGGGGAAGTAGTTGTTTTCNGTATTGATCCTACGGTCTAGGTAGTTGAGAGAGATAAATATTTAGAGATTTTATATCGAAATATTTATTTTCTAATAGTGCACAAATTTGTTCTTATTATTTTCAGCAGGCGATTCTGTAATGAATATTTCAAACATAGTTTTCTTTGTTCGCGGTCTTATGTCAGGTACATTAATTTTCAATTCTGTTGAAGAATTGAAATTTCCTTTTACAGTAATAGCCCGAAAAACATGGTGAATTTATGGGTCATATGATATCAAGACCGTCAGTTGTAGGTGGTGTACGTGATGAAATGAAAACAATAACACCAGTGCTGTGTAATTTGCCAAAGTGTTTGTATCGTTTCATGAATTTTTAGAGATTAATTACGATTGAGATCTTTCTTAACCAAATGCCGTAACCAAAAATGGGAGTTAGTTTTTTATAACATGTAGGATCATTTATTTTGTGATGCTTTATGTTTCATGGGACGATACATCTAAGATCAAACCCATACCGAAATATCAAAGATCTTATGGTTGATCTTACGTTTACATCTCCATAAATCAACTAATTCGTATGGCATGACCAATATAATGTGAAAAAAAATTTCACGAAAACCGTGCAAGAAATTATCACCATTGCAAATCGATTTCACTGATTTCTTTTAATATTCCCCAGTTCCATTTTTTACGGCAGTTGGTCCAAAGTCATAACTTCTGCGAGCTAACTATTCAAAAGGTCTTATCTTTTAACGTGTGATTCCTGACATGGGAAAGCCACACAAAAACTTTTGGCACTTCCTCTACTTTTCCAAGACCAAAATTGTTATGTTCCTCTCTTACAACTGGCTACATAAGGCTGAAACAAATTTTCTACTTGCGGACATTTTTAAGATAAATCAAATGGCGTCCCAAAAAGTCAGCATAGGCTGCGGTCTTTATATTATTTTAGATGAATTTGCTCCTTTGCTTGTTCAGGCTTGTCACTTCAAAATCTGTCTTTTAAATCCAATATGATAAACAGAATGGATAGATGTCACATTTTTTGAATGAACAGCTTAGCAATTTCTTCAGTATTATTACATGACTTCAGAGAAGTTTGTACTTCGTGGACTCCAACACTGGCATATATACAGGCCTCATTTGGTGATGGAAACACATTCACAGACTTCACAAAAATTGATATCTGGGCCGGCATTCTTGGTAATCATATTGTTGGATCATTTTTCATTGAAGGTAATCTCAATGGAGACACATACTTAAATTTATTACAAGACTGTGTAGATCCTACGATTACACAAAAATTTTAGAAAATGATGACAATTTCGTAGAAAATGAAATAACATTCCAGCAGGATAGTGCACCCCCACATTTTGATGTTCGGTGGACGAATATCATCAGTTTTTGGACAAAAAAAATGATTTGCATAACATTAACAATGTGCTACTAAGTGTAATATGAGTTGCCATATCCAAGAACAGCTTGGTTACAAATGGTCAATAAAGAATCTGAATCTGTTCGACGTTGCTTTGTGGAATTTCGTTTTGGAGATTTTAGCCTCGAAGATGAGGCCAGAAGGGGTAGACTAATCCAGGACGAGAATTGGCGGCACTGGTGGAAACGGACCCATCACAAATTGTACGTGGGACGGCGGAAGAACTGGACGTCAGCTCCCATGCGGTTTTCGATGGTGAAAAACGTATTGGAAAGGTCAAAAAGCACGAAAACTAAATGCCCCACGATTTGAATGATCAATAGAAGGGTCACTATTCTTTGCTTTTGCGAAACCAAAACGATCATTTTTTCGGATCGGATCGTCACGTGTGATGAAAAGTGTAGGTATCCTCTAAGACAACAACAGATGTTCAAGAAAGTGGTTGGACACTGATGAGTCATCCAGTCACTTCCCGAAGGAGAAAACTCCCAAAAAAAACCGTGGTTACTGTATGGTGGTTAGCGGCTGCAACCGGGCCAAACTATCACAGCAGAGTCCTATTGTGAGGAAATCGACGAAATGTACCGAAAATGGCGTCACTAGCAGCCGGTACTAGTCAACAGAAGATGTCCGAACCTGACAACGCCCGTTTGCACATCCTACAAATCACAAAAATTAAACGAATTAAGCGTCTAAGTTCTGCCTGACCCACCATACTCCTCAGACCTCTCGCCAACCGACCACTATCTTTTCAAGCACTCCGGTAACTTTCTCACCAGTAAAACCTTCGCCAACCAGGCAAAAAAGGCCTTCGTTGACTTCATCGAATTCCGAGCACGCAATTTTCATGCTGACGGGATTAATTGACTTGTGTTACGTTGGCAAAAGTGCACTGGCTTTATATTTGGTATTGATCATTGATTTGATAATGAGTAGTAATAGCAGCAATTATATGAATAAACTATGTAGTATATAATCAGATATAACACTTACGAATATTATGAAACTTTCTGGTAGGTACATCTGATTTGTTAAAAAAGAATTTGAGTAGAAATTGCTAAATTTCAGAAAATATGTGCATTGTCGAAGTAGGATTTTGAAATATTTATAAGATTATGTTGAAATGCAGGTCTTAAAATGATACATAATAGTTGAATCGGTTAAACACTTTAACAATGTATGTGTAATAGCATGTACTTGAGTTTTGCATTGTATGATTTAGATAGTTGGTGAAGTGGGTCGAGATTTCATTTCGAAACATTCATCTTTTCCAGCGTTCCTACACAGTAGAATCTGGTAAATTCTTGCCAGAAACCACCTGTTTCCCCGGCTAATGCCCCGATGAACATTGAATTATATCAGACAGACATTTATGTAAGTTACCTCAAAGAGGTATTGCAGATGGTTTTTGTTCATCCAGCAGTGGGACCACGCTAAAATCAAACGAGTAGATCAACTACAGACCGATTTCGAGGTATTACCTCTCATAAGTGCAGGAGAGGACGGATCAACACATCAGTTTGATTGAATCGTGTAATTGAATGTTTATTTGAGAGTACCTGTTTCAGGAGTTATTTTTCTTCCAGTTTGTGTGAAAGTTACTTATTTGCATGATCTATACATATATGTATAGAGTTACTCATTTTGAAATTGATTGCATCCTTCATTTTTTTGGAAGATGGAGTAGTAAATAGTCAAAAACTCCCTTTCCTACATACGTTTTGTTGTTTTTCCTCAAAAGTTCACTTTACCAAATATTTTAAACTCAAAACTTACTTGTAATGATTATGTTTTCGTAAAAACAACGATTTTGGACAGTCCTTCATATAAGGCCAGCACTCAGCAGGTCCTCCCAGTTTACCGCTGCCTGCATTTTCGGCTTCAACGTATTCCTTAAGCATTTCAGCATATGGTGATTTACTTGCGCTGAAAAATTAAATGTGAATAAAACTCTCGTACGAGGATATTCAGAGATATAAAAAGTTTTGTATTAATTCCAATAAGAATACAAAAATATCACACATTCTTTGTGACTGTTTATATGAATCGTCCGTCAAACCGATATAATTTGAAAATTCAAAATCGCCATATTCAAGTTAGACATCAATCACACTTTCATTTTTGGCCTTCCTAAAATTTCATAATTTGCAATGTCCATTGATCACTACTTGGTACATGGTGGAGAAATTAGTATCCAAGAGATTTTTCCCAAAAACTAACTTCTCGATACGCGTTTTACCAAAAAAGTTGAAGAGAAGAGAATTTCATTTCTGGTGATTGGGATAAGTGTTTTATTTTTATTCTACGCCAGTGGTTTCAGTTTTTCCTCTGATGGGCTCCGCTCTAAGCAACATTGGAACTTTCATTGAGAACTCTAAAAACTACATTCATTCTGTTCAAATATTTATTTATTCATCAATTTATATTTTGACCCATTTAAAGTGGCCACCCTAAGATATAATACACTTGTGCCAGCCTTTTTTTCCAACCCTCGAAGCAGTTCTAAAGTGCACTTTTTGGTATGTCCTTCAGTTATCTCAACGATTCAGTTTTAACTCCTTAATCGTCGCAAAACGACGTCTTTCCATATGTCTCTGCAATCTTGGGAACAAGAAAACGTCACAGGGGGGCAAATCTGGTTAATACGATGGCCGAGGCATGATTAAGGTGTTGATTTGTCCGAAAATTACGAAGAAGCAATGACGAGTGAGCCGGTGCATTATCGTAATGCAAAAGCCGGACGTTTCCTTCGAGATAATACTCCTTATTGACCGTACGATCATGTGGCAAGAACTGCTGGTGCATTATGCCACGGTAATCGAAGAAAACAGTAAGCAAAACATTGACATTTGATCAAACTTGGCGTGCTCTTTTTGGTCTTGGCTCTCCTGGGCTCTTCAATAGGGACGATTGGACTTTGGTTTAGATATCATAACCATAAACCCATGATTCATCACCAGGTATGGCCCTTTCAAGCAAATCTGGATCGCCGTTGACGTTATTCAACAATTCCTGAGCGATGCTCATACAACGTTTTTTTATCCAAAATTCAGCAATTTTGGAACCACCACACGCTCCGTTCCCGAAATTTCCGTTTCATAGACCAGAGAAGTCTAGTGTTGCGCGACATGCCTTGGAAAAAGGCCACAAAATAAGTGAGGAATTCTTGAAATTGTTGAGACAGGTATAAAACAACAGGTTCTTGGATGCATTCGAACGTTAGGAAATGCAATAACTGTTGCAAATGGTCGAACACACCCGTATTCTTTTAGGTTTGTTCTGGTTCTGCGAAATCCAGGTTCTAGGTTCTAGGACGTCAGGATCATGCGCAGTTGATATAGAGCGTTCTGGTTTATTGAGGATAATTTCAGACTGATGAATCCTCTGTTCTGGTTTTGACTGCAAAATGATCCTAAACTGTTTTGAACCGTCCCGAATCGTTCTTGCTCTCGAGGCTGAACTGTTACCGTTGCTCATACGTATTCATGTGGAAATTTGTTTGGGCTACTTGCTAGGATGTTTTTTTATTTATTTGATTTGAAAAATTGATGATTGAGGGTAGGTAACATTTGAGCTGACTATAGGGATACGCTACATAACAAAATGGACATGGTAATAGTATTTTCTCGTCTTCATCTCTTCATATATACGATAGGCGGCACAGTGATCTCCTCAAAAGCGTTCTGGTTTAAACAAGTGTCCGAGACTTTTTTGGACTGTGAGATTTTTTGTTTGTACGCACCATGTCTTGCGCTGTTTCCAAACGTTTTGGGATGTTAGAACCAGAACAAACCTTTTAATATTGCAATACGTAAGTTTCTGGAAGAAATTTTTCGAGTTCATATTTTCGTTGACACTTTGAGGTGTTAAAAATAACTGTTTGGTGTTGAGATAGAGCTACAGTTATATCCGCATGAATTACCGATCAAGGTGTCCCCAAAAATCTACACTCAAACCGTTTTTTTCTCATTTTTGCAAACGATTCGATATGTTATTTTTATGAATTCTCATCAGTCCGCGTAGTGACATATGCGGATGATACAAATTTGATTTGCCTATCACACAAAAGAAAATCTAACATATGTCAAACATTATTCGAAGTGTAGGTATACCAGCGAATCATAACATGGGCTAATGAAAATCATCCGAAATTCAATATATCTAAAACTGAGCTGATTAAGATTACAATGAATCCAAATGTGTCCGAGATTTTCTGTACTATATGTGAAAGGATTTCGGCGGCTTGTATGTGATCCTTTTGATTAATGGGTTTCAACTCGGTGTCAGAGTTGTGACCACCTCGTTCAGTTTCGACAACTAAACCAAGTTCATCAGAGAAATGCTCCAATTCCTGGTTGCGGACCATGCAGAGAAAATGAATCCAAACTCCTGATGTCTTTACAGGCTCCATCCAGTACCATTCTATCATGTAGATACTCCACTCCGCGGCCTTCCTGTTGTCGGGGGAAGTACAACCGTGGAACGGACGATTTGGGATGCAAACTCCTTTCGAGTTTGTACATTATTATTATTACTACTATTACGAGTATTACTATAAATTCAAGACTTTCCGCTTGTTTGTGTCCTTTTTACAAAGTATTTTTACTGTCATATATTTCACAGCAGTTCATATTCACACATCGCCAAAACTCTTGGACTCCCTTATGTTTGTCTAAATGAGACACTATTATTATAAGTCGAGAATTGTATTACAAAGTACATTTAATTTGGTTATGTAACCAACGCAAATTGGCTGAATTTAATTTTAACTGAACAATAAAAAAAATACAAACGAAAAATAGTGCATAAAAAATGATTACCAGAATCTGAAATGTAGAAGAAAACCATTTTAGAGCGAAATCAAAAAAGCATTAATATTCGGTGTGTCCTCTCCTATTTTGTAGTAAGATGTTAACTCGCCTGTTCACGGAAACAATAAGGACGTTAATGGTATGCATTGGGATGTTGTTCCATTCTTTTGGGCCGCGGGTGTGAGTTCCGGGAGGGTGCTACGAGGATTAATTCTGTTTGAAATTACTGTTTATCGAAATCCCACATGCGCTCAATGGGATTCATATCTGGTGAATTTGCTGGCCACGCTAATCTTTGAATATTCTCAATCTCTATAGTGCAATTTGTACTCTTCTCGTGCGATGGGGCCTAGCATTGTCATCTATGTAAATGAAATTTAATTTCGGAGAGGATAAATAATGGGTTCAATAACGTTTCGAACATATATATCCCCTGTCATAGTAACTGAATGGGAATAAGCTGCGTACGACGGCCATGCGTTATGCCTCTCCAAAAAATTACTGATCCTCCTTAGTATGGAACGAATTTGCTAGCAAAAGATAGTTTTTCTTGTCGCCCTGGCTCTCTTCAAACTCTGTGTCGTCGACTATCACAACTAAACCAAATCTGGTTTCGTCCGAAAAAAGACGAGCGGCTATGTGTCTGGGAAGTAACCTGGGTACTCTCAATGGCCTCCTGGATTGCAAAATGGTTCTAGCAAGTGTCCGCGGACACAGCGCGCTCTATTGTGGTATTGGAAAATAATCGACCAAACGTTCTTCTCAGATGAGTTCGGACTGCTGAGATTGTTATGGTTCGATTTTGATGTACATATCCTGCTAGATACCGATCTTCTCTTGTATTAGTTACCCAGTTCCACGTCTCCAGTCAACGCTGTTAGTTTCCTGGTACAAAAGCACTATTCGAATAAGTGAAGCGCGGGGAATCCTTAGTCTATTCGCGATTTGATGATTCGGCAGACCCTCATCATGCAAAGCCACTATTCTTGCTCCATGGAACACTGAAATTCTATTTCCAGGCATAATTGCAAAGAAGGACTCAACAATAACTTAAACACGCTAAATCGATATGAACCACTTTTTAAACATTGTTATCTGAAATTAGAGGAAATTGTTTTTGTAAACATTTTTGCATGCTTAGCACCGGTGAAAGAAATAAAGATAAAATACAGGCTGATTCACGGTGGATGGCACATTAGACGTTTCTGGTGAACCAGACAACGGATCACTTTGAAAATTTAATGGAGGGCATATTCGGACATTCTCTAGCCAACTAAAATATTTTCGACA